GGCCATCATATGGGTCAGAGCACATGTACTCATAGTGTATGTGTTTGCCCGAGTTTCCTCTGGTCCCGACACCAGACTTGGACATTTTGACAGATAGATGTCCAAAAGTAAGAATGTCCCATAGGACTCATGTAGATGTTTTCGCTATTAAAGTTGTTCTGCATCCAAAACAGCTGGGATTTTTAAAATATCTCGTTGGTTATTATTTTTATTAATATTATGTATTTCATGTTTAATTATTATTGTATTAATTGCTAAAAAAACAAAATGTATAAAATCATTTCAGTACCTTTGATAACTTTTTGTAGGACCTGGACGGATATCATCCACCTACGCAGATTTCATCAGCGATGTACCGTTTTATGCTGCTATATTTAGCGAAGGTAACTAATTCCTTTTTTTTGTAATGTTCTTTTAAGTCATATTATTTTTGCTTCTGAATGAGAAACCTCTTTAATTGAAATTTGACACATATCTGATCTGAGATCGACCCCTCTTTACATTGATTACGAAATGGAACATTTTGTTTTTATTTTTCTAATTTCTTAAAAGAATTCGAGTGCCTACGTGTAGCACCATACGCTAATGTTTGAGGCTTTGTGTTCGCAAGTGCAACAAAAAAGCAAAAGGTGAAGTTTTGATACTTAAACGTTTATCATGTTTATTTCAATTTATATAAGTCGATCATGCTACGATTTGTATGTAAACAACCAATATTACATTAAGGCATTTTATTTGTTTCAATTTCAGAAGAAAATATTTACAAGTTTCCGGATCCAACAGAATATCCTTTGCAGAAGAACATGTTTTTCACTGTTGGTAAGTGGCTTATTTGAGTGATTATCTAAAATACCCGAGAAAGTATGGAATACAACTATGATACTTATAACCAGATGTCATTCACAGTATTGACATAAGAGTAAACGAGTTATGTCCCTTTGGTCCTGGGGGAAAGTGTCTGATGGCACATATAGTAAGATTAAATTCGTTTTAGGGGAAACAAACGCTATCAACCCTAAATTGTTTCCAATAAGGAAACCTTAACTTTATCGACATGTTTGATTAAATATGTTTGTTACTGCACGAGTTGGCTATTATCTAAGAGGATCAAAATTCAGGTTCTGTTGAACATTTAGTAAATTAATTGTGAACGATGCACAAACACAAGGATTTCAATCAGTTTCCCAGGTAATCAGTAGTGTTTATTGTGAAAGTTATTTACCTGATGCACTGTCGTAAAGACTAGTGACAACCCTCCCCTTTTTTCATGACGAAAACAGGTTTCGCCTGTCTTAATTTCTTTTTCCATACAGTAAGACGTTGATTCTATTCAGTCAATCAAACTCAAAATTATGCAAATTACTTTTTCTTGAATTTTGGGCAAAACACCATATAAACTTCAAGAAAATCATTACTTTTACTTTGCTTTTTGCCTTTTTAAATAAAATATTTATTCTCTTTGACGAATGTTATTCAAAGTTCATGTAAAAATATCAGCTAAGATACAACTTGCTTAGGAGTATTTCAATGCTCCGAGTCAGTCATCGTAAACATAAAAAAGCAGAATGCTTCTTTTGTTCAATCTGTCTCGAACTTGATTTTTTTTTAATTTCTTTTGCCGAGTTTTTTGTTTTAGTATATGCTTGAAAGCAAAAGAAAACTCACTGTTGACATAAACAGGACACATTTTTCCACAACAGACGTTTTCTCTTTTTTACCGTGAATCCAAAAGTTCAAGTCATATGCATATTAACTTACCAACTATCGGTGATAACGTTGGTATTGTTCTGCGATAACCTACTATTGGTAAAACTCGATAACTAGAATTGCTTCATACCTATTATAGTCAAACGAAATATCTCATAAACTGTTATTCAGTGACTTCGTGTACGAAACATAAAAAAAATTCAAACGTTATTCAAAATTTACTCCACCATCCAAAGATAGCAAGTGTTTATGAGTTTGGCGTCTAGTACCGAATATACTCCCGTGTGTTCCAATTTGAGTTTTTGTGATATGTCTTTTACAGAACCTGGGTTTTACGAGATGGATAACATTGGGGTTCGCATGGAAAACGTGATGTACGTAACATCGGCACACCTTAAACAGGTACGTGTATTGTAGCATCCCCTAGTATTTTCCAGCATATTTCCGTAGTAATAAAAAATCAATTTGTATTCAGCTATGTTAATATTTGATTTGATTGGTCATTTCAACGTCATAAAGTAACATCGGTGCTTGCTTTTTTGCATATTTCTAACATGAAAATTTTACCTCAAATATTTAAGTACGAATAACAATGGCATATCAAAGATTTCTAACAGCAATAAAGTGTAGCTTAATATATAATGCTTTTATTTTGAGTAATAGTCGGGATGCAATACTTACCCAACTATTTCTTTTTTACCTGTTTTTAGATTTCCTCCCGATGTAAATTCTTACGATTTGAAACTATAACACTAGTGCCGTATGAACCACACCTCATTAAGTACAACATGCTTAGTCAAACACAGGTACGTATGGAACGGCAAATACAAGTAACTATCAATTATAACATCAGTCATGACGTGTACATATTTTCTTGGTATCATTTTCTTTATTGTTATATATCCTTTCTTCTTTACAAATATATTTGATTTAAGAATATACCTTTTTCGATAACTCCTTTTTTTTTCTTTTTTCCGGATCCAATGCATTGGAAATGGATTATCATCTAACATTGGTACTATATTTACGTTAGTTATATCAGGGTATGACTATCAAACGCTCAGTATGACAAAATAATATTGCCCGTCAATTGGACAATTCTAAATCTTTTCGGAATATTTTTATGTATTCTATCAAGGAACGATGCGTTCTTGAAAGTGTGTCATTATCAAAGTGTCAACGCACATGGAAAACAATATAATCAAGACAAAAAATAAATAGAAAAAAATGTATCACAAAAGCCAGGAATGAAAAAAAATCATTAACATGCATATTGGATTCTGCTTCGATAATGAGCAAACGGGGTTTGTGGATCAATACCCCTCATAAAGCCAGAAATATACGGCAATATGGGATTATTTATAATACCATTTTAGTTCAGTTTATAATGATCGGTTTAGAATGCCATCTGTACTTTCTAAATATGGATGTGGGCTGGCGAATGATGAGTTGAATGAAGATAAGGGCTTAGAATAAAGAACGTGTGAAATAAAAATTAAAAATCAACTGTTTGTAATTAGCAATTGGACTAATTGTTCTTTGTTTGTACACGGAATATTCCTATTGGCTTCAAGGACACATTCATTTCTTATACAATTAATAGTAAAGGGGAAATATAAAAACTGCGTTTATAATAACTTCTTCTTTAATTTTGAAAAGGCATATTCTACTCAGTTAAGTGTAGCTATAAATCTCTGAAACCTCATTGTTTTTGTAAGTCGTGATTGAAATGGTACATTGTATTTGATTTCTAGAAAGTCCATTTTATCGAGGTTTTGCCAAGATGACCTTTATCACAGTATCTGTTTATAATAGGAGTGGAACTTTAAGCTTTAGCGATGAAATCAACAACAATAATACTGACTATTTATAACTGGTGGTAAGATACCTTCTACTTGATGGAAATAGTGTGTGTTTTTGTTTACATATTTCTGTCTAAGTAGTCCAAGTGTTTTTGTCATGGTGTCTCGACAGAAAATCAGTTTACAAAAATGTATGATCTCCAAAAAATAACAAATAATAGATCATGATAAGACTTGAATTTCCAGTGGTCAACTTATTCTCATTAAATCTTGATGAAATGGAAAGTAACAATTATGAAAGTAAACTGCAGCAGATTGATGCACTCCTAGGATTATAAATTGGACATGTTGAGATTTCAATGCAATCTTGTGTATTGAAATGAGAAAGATCTGTTTGTCCCTAAAAAGGTTCATTTTGCAGGAATGAAATGTATATTCGCAAGATTCATCGAGCCACTGCTATGTAAAAACGATGTTCTTATCCAGACAGTTTCGCTGACATTCTGCCAGCTTAGTCATTGGTCAGCGTTAGTGATGTGGGAGTTATGTCCCCTTGTTCGCCATATGTCGACGAACATATAGAACCGGGGGCAACGTAGTTATTCCATACGTCAAAGGAATATCGGAGACTTTAAAACGGATATTTAAGAAACAGCGAATCTTGACCAGCACGAGACAGCTTCAAAACATCAGGAACATTGTTGTATACCCCAAGGACACATTTTTACCATTAGTACTAATAGAATGTTTTAAATTTTGCATTTATATTTACATTCTCCCTCTGCTTTTCTTATCACATTGGAAATTAATATACCGGTATTAACCAAGTTTATGCCAGGCTCAGAACCACAATTTGCAATTTGTAAAAACTAATTATGATTTTTTTTTATTCCAAGATATATACCAGTAAAATAAAAAGATCCTTAATTTTCCATTAATATTAATTATGATTCTGCAGTATAATTGTCAAAAATAAGATTGCACACATATACTGGTACCTGCAATTCAGATCTGTACATAAGGTTATTCATGACAAGTTATCACGGATCTCCCCAGTTGAATCTATACATTTACTTGTAGTTGACAGGGGAAACCCCTTAAATTACAATGAGCATAAGAACCTTCATACAATATGTTTCAATTTTAGATATCTCATATACCAGTATTTAGTTGTCAAAATAGTAAACCTTATAAATATTGAGGGTGTAGGTTTTAGAATGTGTATAACATCGGATAAAAAGTGTTGTTGTTATTTACTGGTGTGTATAGGTTTATTGCTAACCGAAAGTACTAGTTTCCCGAAACCGAGCCCCTGTGTGTTATCCGTATGACTGTGATACACCTATGTACCAAACTTCAGCTAGATATTTGAAAATTGACAGAGTTATGATAAATTGAACTTTTACGACCGGTGGCGTGGCACACGTGTGTAAAGTAATCTACAGATTGTGAAGCATCTTCAAACTATATCTCTAAAATTAACCTAAAATGTAATCGACATCAGAAGATATGTTATTCATATGACTAAAACATACTTTATTGGATGCACAAAACCAATACATCAAAAAGATAAAAGCTTTTAAGGGTGTGTCAGTTATGAAATTATTTATATTTTAATGATTTCAGCTTCTAAAAACAAATCTGACGTGTTCACAGCTGCAAGGCTTTTGAATTACATGTACCTCCAATTCAATACAGTCCAAACCTGACATACTACATTTTATGCAATTTTGTAAATCATATCTCGATGCGTAAGGCTATGAATGCAAATAATATATTAAAGCAGTGTATTAGTATAATTAGTGATTGTGACCAGGTATCTCAGTGGTTTATAGTTTAATTAGAGTGTGTGACCAGATTATATATCAAAAAGTGAAACATAGTCCAGTTCCTTGGTGAAATGACGAAACTTATCTACATGTAGCTTATTTTTCCAGATTTCGTGAGTTACGTCCCCTTAACACCTTTTGACTCATAGGTCAGACCACGGAATTAGATTGCTATCTAAGTCGGTGCTAGAATTGACCATTTTCAGTCAGTAATTAAACTTGCTTAATTATTCTGATATCAAATGATTTCATCAGAAAGAACAACTAAAAAGACGATTGACAATTTGACTCTCTCAAGTGTTTTGTAATATTTTATTTTGAGCACACGGCTTCTCCGCCATCTTTTTTTTCAAAAGGTTGGCAAGTATGCATTTATCATTTATAACCATATATCATTTGTTTACCGAAAAACATAGGGCAATGAACGCCTTCATTAAATACAGATACAATTAAAGGGTAGAACAAATATTAGAAAGAACAACGTTAATGATAAAATACATTGTACATGAAAAGGGGACATTTCTTATTTCAACAAATTTTATTTGAACAGCTGGATGAGAAAAGAGGCTTATACTATATAAGTCTTCTCCTAACCGGTATAGATGGACAGAAAGCATAAATTAATACATTGCTCAACAAGACACACTCATATACACTTACAAACATATAGGCTAGAACATTCAACCAAGTTATAATTATAAGAAAGAAAAGAAACATTATTTGATGACATTTGAAAACTTATAAAATACTTTCTTAGCAAATCACATATATGTTTGTACACTCAGACCACAACACATATACACACACACCCTCATATATATATATAATATGCATTAAGGAGACTTAATGGAATGCTTGATGTTTATCATTATTTGTAAGTTTCGTTGTTTTTAATTAAATAGAAGAGACAGAACTGATTAAATAACTTGTAACACGTCTAAATACATTTTGTACATTTAAAAAGCATGACAATGTATTGTCCTTAACACATTACATACTACCAGCAATTGGCCTGCCGCCTTAATATATATAAATAAATCTCGAACCCCCCTCGACTTTCCACCTTGAACCTCTGAAATACATTATATGCTAAGCTGATATAGGTCACAGCATTATGTGTTCTGTGACCCATATCAGTATAGCATGTGTATTTCAGACACTGACTGACTTGAAGCAAATCGAACCAGGGTAGGGAGGGTGACACAGACACGAACTGACAAAGTAGGCTACGCATACTTACTTTTAAACCACACATGCGCGTACATACATGTATCTCAGGCGGCTTATCAGTATTGTCGTTGATAAACAAAGAATCTCTTCGTCTGACCGGTCCCTCCTTGCACTGAAGTGACAAGACTTGCAAGACTTGCCTGGCAAGTTTTCTGTTCCGGTCTTTTTCAACCAATCAGAATATGGCAAATTTTGAAGCTACCTATTTAACAAGATTGAAATATCTTTCATTTTGTTTGCAAAACAAAATGGACAACAAAAGTGTCTTGCTTTGGACAAAATCACTAGTCATCTTAATATTCGGCGTCATTTTAAACATTGGAGACCGTTAAAAGGTGTGTAGTGTCTTGGAGTCCGTGGACAATGTATCCGGTACTGGCTGGTAAATTGGAATGCCCACCTTCCTGTCTCTTCCTTGTTCCGGGACACAATGTAGAATGGTTAAAAGTTTATATATAAGTGTTTAGCTATATGAACTAAATTAGAGTGACTACAGACAGAAAATGTATGAATGAATAACAGAAAGATTGAACAAATAAAGAACCAACTGAACAGACACGAAATATGTAGTATTGAATGAGGATTCATTTGCCTTGTTACTTGTTCAGTTAAGATGGTTATGAAAATATCGGTAATCCAAAATTGTCCTCAATTTGTCAATGAAAGTCTGTCATACATCTGAGTCATGATAACTAGACAGGCTCTGAAATAACCTGTATGTCTTATCTCGCAGCTGGACTGGTTGAACGATTACAACGGCAAGGTTTTACAGAAGACTGCCCCTATTCTGGAACGCAGTGGTGACAAAGAAGCGCTGGCGTGGCTGATGAAACGAGTAAACAACATCACTAGATAGTCTTTTTGTTAAATTTTGGATCGAGCACTTACTTTCATTCCTGTTTATACAGTACACACGTAGTACTCGTTATTTGATACAAAATTGATTTTCCATCAATCTTCTGGATTACTTGTTGTTAAAGCGTGTTTTTTATTGTTAATTATTTTTATATATTTCTGACGAGTAGAACATCTATCAACATGATTTGTGATATGAAATATTGTTTATAAATAAAAGAATAGAAATAATATATTTCAGTGTTTGAGATTTATTGTTATCTTTTCTATTGTTAAAATTATATGTAGCAGAACCCATTTATAATGAAAACGTGTACTGTTTTCGCAGTATGTTCCTATATATTTGGTTTAAGAATTTTCAATAGAGAAATACGGTGGTTGTCAGTAGAAAATGGAGAAATGGCAAAGAAAAAATAAAGTTTTCTCAGAGTGTCTTAGAAATACCAAACTATCCATTAAACGCTCACTAGATCCTAACATAACGTTTTCTCTGCACTCAATTCATTAAACTACTTAACACATAACTGTCATTTTGTCGACGTGCCTGCCATAACAAAAGAATTGATCATTACCACGTTTACTTTGGTTTGGTTTGTTTGTGTTTTACGTCCTAGTAACAGTTATGGTCATTTAAGGACGTGGCAGGTTTTGACTGTTGGTTGGTTGAAGGGTTTATCGTCTACACTCACTAACGAAGTCGGTGTTTGGTCGAAGTGAGGGGATAAGTAGCCGCTTACCAGGCCCTCGGACAGATGCGGACAGGCTGTCACAGCTACTGCGGTTTACGGAACGAGGTCCTTAGTGTTGTCCTTGCTGTCCTCATATGTGGTGAATCTGTACTGTTTCAGCATAGGCAAGCTATGAAGGGTATTGATCAAAATCAATGGTTGGCTCTTTCTTCCATTTTCTGCTAAGGGGACATTAGAAAGAAGCCTAGCATAGACCTGTTGAATCCCACTGCGTTTGTTTAATAAGAGGTGACTGACGAGGTGCCCCTGCAGAATCGGGGAATTTCTTAAAGGACATTATAGAGACAAGTGTTAATCTGCTATCCCCAACACTGCTTTCCTTACCGTTCAGTGGTGTTTTCATTTCCCTTCATCCTTCTATTTATAACCCCATATTCTAAAAGGACGATGCACTCCTTTAAAACAAACGGTAATGCTGGCCGCTTGTGTCCTAATCACCAGAAATAAGAAGTAAGGAATCACCTTTATAAAGATTGGAAAGTCGATACAGAAAGACAAACAACGCTAACATTTATACTGCACAATATGACTTTTTGTCCATTACGGCCTCATCAGTTGTACATGTGTTCCAATATATGTAGAAAATAGCAGACACGGAAAGGTGCCCATACAATCCATTAAAACGTTACATATAAACCGTTTGTTGACGTTAATGTTCACCACCGTTTGCTGCTACAGAGGATACATTCCCTAACTAGCATTTTATGTTAACTGTACCATAAGTGGTGCAAAAGGCAAATAGTGTTTTGGGAACGTTTGACTTTAAATCAAATCAAAGCATATGGACTCGCAAGACCATTTCATAGGGTTTTGTCCATTCTTATACAATGAATACGAGCTAATGCTTGTCATGCTTTTAACGAACTTCGAAACGTCTTTATTGTCATTGTCAATCAACACGATTCAAATATAATCCAGATTTATTTCGGGGTTGTCGAAACTACAAAACTAAACGAAGACGTTTGACTGCAGCAAGTTTTCCTTTTTGAATCGTTTTGATACTATGCAAATGGATTAGGCACAGATATTACATATAAAAACCCATCCAGATGGATTGGCATACCTTTCAGACATTCATTTTTTTTTTTTACTGATAACGTAAATATAAATCTGATTAATTTAACAGTTATTATGAAACAAGTTTTATCACATAATTGAGTCATTCGGACATGTCATTAATAGGATATTTCATATGTGAAATGAAACCTAAAGGAACGTATTCCTACGCTACTAAAGGTACTACAACATTTTAATGTAGGTACCTGAAGGTTTGATAATGTCAGCATGGTTTAAGTTAGCTACGAGAAAGTCAATTAGAGCACAAAATGCATGCTTTAGCATGAAAACGATTTTATGAATACGGGGGCCCAGGCTCCAGTTTTATGATTTTAGAATTTAGTACAAACACTACAGAGAATACATTGATTTAATTCAATATCAACATCTCCCTATCTGAATGTATTACTATCTAAGTTGATTATAGTAATGTAAGCAAATGGTCGAATGATATGTATCTCCCATGTATAAATATAAATTCAGTTGACCCACATTATTCTGTAATTGACATACAAAGCATCTTTTTCAATTTCCTTTAGTCATCATATTTAAAAGTATCAGTTCAGCAGAATGCCTATAATGGTGGCATGTTAACTTAAAAAACTTTTTTATCTGTTCAACCGAAGAAAAATTTTGCGAAAGTTAGAGTCCGGGCTTTGTTCAATGTACTTTGAAAAAACAATGTTAACCAGGAGGATTCATAAAAAATCTTAAATGCAAAGGCGAAAATGTTATTATTTACATTAAGTACAAGATGTTTGTGTAGATAATAAGTAATTAGGTCACGCTGTTTTATCTCTCAAAATAGAATACTTTGCGCTGATTATCGAGTATTTTAGAGTATCGTGTTCTAATACTTTTTCCTTGGTCAGTTATGATTCTAAGATAATGTAATTGGATTGATTTCATGATATTTTCTTTTGTCCTCCGTGCAATTGTTGCAGACAACAGTAGCATGCTCTAGATTGGGTCTGAGCTACCAGGTTAACGAATGTCATCTGGTCCTACTGAGCTACAGTTATATCAAAGAGTCGGGATAATGAATAAACTTATTTGTAGGTATTTAAATGTAGTCATTTAAATACTGATCGATAGCATACGTGGTTATGTCCCTTTGATATTTGATACATATCAAATATCAAAGGTGACACCGTAGACTCGTAGGCGATAAAAACACCTGTATAAGCTGTGGCCGGGTGTTTACTGTGTAAATATCTCATTCACGCCACCATGCTGTCCTGTGCAGTCTCCACCGTGTTATTGTCATTTATGCTTATTACACTGCAAGGTAAGTGATTTCTTTCTTATTTTACAATAAAATACAGGATACATTACATATTTCATATACATGAGCTCAATAGATGGCCGCAGATCAATACATTATACAACTGCTATATCATCGTCCTTGTAATATTGGAGACGTCCTGATAAGATGACAAGATATATATCGGGGTCAGTAAATGGTACAACTTCCGGTTGTATAAAATACAAATATAAATTTGAAGTTGTCATTTAAAAGTTGAAAGATAGATATATTTTTATTGAAGGTCCAACTGTTAAAAACTTCATATTTGCAGTACAGTCATACGTTTATTATAAACATGCAATATTAAATATACAGCCACAAATCGATGAGTAACATGCCTATGTAAATGCAGGATCATACACCATATAGGTCTTAGATAATTGCATCAAGTGTATAGAAAAATATGAAAACTGGTGCAATTACTCAAGATCCTCAAAACTGGACGACTGATGATAAAGGAATGATAAGAGACAGAATATTACGAGCAGGCGCGGATTTAGGACACGCTGTTGATAGAGAATTTGAACCGAAACTTTAATTTTCTTTCCAGTACACAAAAAAAGTCTTTGGGCCATACTTAAAATATGTTTTTTTCTTCTTGTTAATTAAACATAAAAACAATTCTCAGAACACGGGAAATCGCTTCTGAGACGTTCTAGAAAACACATTTTTTGGGGGGGAGATTCCCCAAACCCCCCTCACGGGGAGGGGGTCTGTACCCTCCCCCTCCTCGCGCTATGCGCTCGGGCTGCTGCCTTTCGCAGCACACCGTTGACTTTTGAGAAAAAATTATCGGCCCCCCCCTTTTAGGAAATCCTGGATCCACCCCTGACGAGTCATCGAAATGCGCTCCGGGTCTGACCAGACTCATTTGTCATGTTGTGTCAGTTATCGCTTCATATTACAAACGTTTGTACTTCTCTTTCAAAGGACCTGGAATAAAAGAAAATTGTTTAGGATCATATGACGGAAAATCAACCAAAATGTTAGAAAATGCTCATTTAAAAGCTGCCTGAATCGTAACAGGGGGGATTTAATTTACAAGTATTGATATACTATGTTAAATAAACTAGTTGAGATTTTATTCCCGTCCTACCTAAATGACAAACTTTTGCACAGCCACAATACGACAGCTGCCGGTAAATACGGCCAAGTTACATACCTAGCATATTTTTTTTTACAGATACTCGTTTCTACGTTCGGCTGCCGTTCTCCGGAATTATCTCCCTGCATATGTAATTTAAAGTTCAAGGCCTATTCCCGTCCTAATTAAAACGACAGCTGCCGGTAAATACGGCCAAGTTATATTACATGCCTAGCAAACATTTTACAGATACTTGATTCTACCTTCGGCTGCCGTTCTCCGGAATTATCTTCCTTCATATCTCTCTGCGTATGTTACATATAAATATATGTTATTACAAAATTGCATATAGGTTTATACATGTACATACATACAAACAAAATATAAAAAATAAACAAAATAAGCAATATAGCACATATTTGTCTATCAGGAATCTATGGGCACGACTACGGATCGGATTGCGTTCAAGATATACCACACTCTGTCGGTTTTCTACCACACAGAGAAAACTGTTCAACCGTACGTATTTTTCATCAGGTTACCTCCCTTTAGCCATCTGATAGCAATGACAAGTGTTGGAAACAAAAATCCGGTAGGACAGACTCAGTGATCGAAAAAGATTTTGCAATACCAAAGAAAGTAAAAAATATACTTTAGTGAGTAAAAATGTGTTTTTTTTCAGTTAAAATGTATCTTCGTTTTTTTTTCTTTTCGCGATTGTTTTTTATTTTCTAATTTGCTGGTACATGTAGCACTCACATCATTACATTCAGTATTTTCAATTGTATATGACTTTTAATATTGCCCAGTAATTGTCAACAGTAAACATTTTGACAAGGAAGGTTACAATTCGGGTAGCGTAATAGTCGATTGCCTGTAGACAATATACGTAACGTTACATATGTATATCATGTAAGTAAACACAGTCTCATTTTAGAATCCTATAACGAAAGCAAGGGTTGGAAAACTCAGAGATGTTTTCTTTGAAAACGGAATTGATGCCTACATTGTCAGCACTGAAGACGCCCACTTTGTAAGTATACTCATACTTTTGAAATAAATTATACCCCTACCCCCTCCCCAAAAAAAGAAAAGTGCTTTGTGACAGTGACATCTATTGTATATTACATGCATGGTGAGGTAGCAAGACAGCTCAGGGAAACTTTTAAAATGTTAATAAAAGAAAATCAAGAACATCTGATATCGTTTCCCTTCTATAGATTTGTTGAAATAGATAGGATTCATGTGTTTTGATGTTTATTTTTACATAGAAAGCCCTTGCGTCTTGGCAACAATTTGAATATGTCACTAACCACTGGTTAAAGTGAGCCAACCTTTAAGAAACTGGGACTAGAAGAATATAGTAGTGTCCAAGGTGGATTTATATCGTGAATATTATTGAGTAAGACATTGCTTTTAATATAGATTACTAAACTATCGTGGATATTAATGAGTAAGACATTGCTGTTAATATAGATTACTAAACTATCGTGTATATCGTTGAGTAAGACATTGCTGTTAAGATGAATTACTAAACTATCGTGGATATTAATGAGTAAGACATTGTTGTTAAGATTAGTTACAATACTATCGTGGATATTAATGAGTAAGACATTGTAGTTAAGATGAATTACAAAAACTATCGTGGATATTAATGAGTAAGACATTATAGTTAAGAGGAATTACTAAACTATCGTGGATATTAATGAGTAAGACAATGTAGTTAAGATCAATTACAATACTATCGTGGATATTAATGAGTAAGACATTGTTGTTAAGATTAGCTACAATACTATCTTGGATATTATTGAGTAAGACATTGTAGTTAAGATGAATTATTAAACTATCGTGGATATGATTGAGTAAGATATTGTAGTTAAGATTAGTTACAATACTATCGTGGATATTAATGAGTAAGACTTTGTAGATAAGATGAATTACTAAACTATCGTGGATATTATTGAGTAAGACATTGTAGTTAAGATTATTACAATACTATCGTGGATATTATTGAGTAAGACATTGTAGCTAAGATCAGTTACAATACTATCGAGGATATTATTGAGTAAGACATTGTTGTTAGGATTAGTTACAATACTATCGAGGATATTATTGAGTAAGACTTTGTAGTTAAGATAAGTTACAATACTATCGAGGATATGATTGAGTAAGACATTGTAGTTAAGGTAAGTTACAATACTATCGAGGATATTATTGAGTAAGACATTGTAGTTAAGATTAGTTACAATACTATCGAGGATATTATGGAGTAAGACATTGTTGTTAAGATTACTTACAATACTATCGAGGATATTATTGAGTAAGACATTGTTGTTAGGATTAGTTACAATACTAACGAGGATATGATTGAGTAAGACATTGTAGTTAAGATTAGTTACAATACTATCGAGGATATGATTGAGTAAGACATTGTAGTTAAGATTAGTTACAATACTATCAAGGATATTATGGAGTAAGACATTGTTGTTAAGATCACTTACAATACTATCGAGGATATGATTGAGTAAGACATTGTAGTTAAGATTATTACAATACTATCGTGGATATTATTGAGTAAGACATTGTAGTTCAGATAAGTTACAATACTATCGAGGATATTATTGAGTAAGACATTGTAGTTAAGATTAGTTACAATACTATCGAGGATATTATTGAGTAAGACATTGTTGTTAGGATTAGTTACAATACTATCGAGGATATGATTGAGTAAGACATTGTAGTTAAGATTATTACAATACTATCGTGGATATTATTGAGTAAGACATTGTAGTTCAGATAAGTTACAATACTAACGAGGATATGATTGAGTAAGACATTGTAGTTAAGATTAGTTACAATACTATCGAGGATATTATTGAGTAAGACATTGTAGTTAAGATTAGTTACAATACTAACGAGGATATGATTGAGTAAGACATTGTAGTTAAGATTAGTTACAATACTATCGAGGATATTATTGAGTAAGACATTGTAGTTAAGATTAGTTACAATACTATCGTGGATATAACTGAGTAACACTTTTTTTCTAAAGATGGAATAATCCGTTGAGGATCTGAATTTTGAGGTCATTATTGTTACAATGGAGTACACCTTTGTGGATCATTTCGAATAACATATGATGCTAGGATGGCTTATTGTTTTATTATGGAACATTATTGATAAAAAAATGTTTCGGGGTTAGATAATGAGCAGTGTAATGTAAACGTTGAATTCACGCGCGGATTTGATTTACATTGGAGTAATTCTCGCTTATAGCGCCCTTTTGATTGTTTTTCAAGAAATGTTCTGCTGCAATTACCCGAAATGGTTTGGATCAGCCTTAGATATCATAAAATTTATACCAACACAATTATTCCTGTTTGGTAAAAATGAAAAGTTAACATCTGGCGGAAGAGATATTCACATTTACAATATTCAAAGATGCATAGGAACGCAATTTGATCTCACTTATCAGTTTACCCATATTGGAGTACACTGGTAAAGATGTAGATTTTTATTGATAACATTTATTCATATTTCTGTAAAAAGACAAATATAGAAAAATATATATTTTCTCTGAAGGGACAGTTCAATTGACATTTTTAATCAAATAACGAGCAAATATGCTAAACAACCTTCGAACAAAATGTTGAAAGAAACAAATGCTTTGTGTAAGTAAAAGATAAGCAATGTTTGAATAGACGTTTGTGTAAACATGTCAGATATTAATTAATCTAAAATTTATAAAATGACAAAAACAATGTTTTAAAACTTATTCCGTGAATACAAGGACATGAATGCTATTAGAGTATGGATACTTCTTGTGACATGGAATGTATGTAGAATTTTGTTTCAGCGGCACAGAAGCTCCCCCCACGACAGCCGCCTGGCAGCAATATCTGGGTTTCCAGGCTCTATTGGTAGTGTGTTATTGTACTTGTGCACTCTAAGAGCACTTTGAAATATGTACACAGAGATTTTCCATATTCAAATTAAACATACATCTGTTTTCATCTTTTCGTAAATTCCGACAAACGCATTACACAGACTTGTTCTATAATTACGTGAATCAGTGATATTGTTGTTGGTTTGTATGTAGCGGATATCCGATGAGTTGTGGTTAGCTAACATAAAAGCTGAGGTCGTACATTTTACAATTGTATAAAGACACAAAGTTTACAGATTTATAATTTGAAAATTAACGAATGAGAGTTAGATAAACATGATAACTAGACAAGGTAAGTTATGGGGCATTTTTTCACCCATAACGTTTTTACGGCGTCTGAAAAATCATAAATATATTTCTCTGAGAAATACGCATTTTCTGTCTCGCATCCGGACAACAATTAAATGAATCAATACGTCATTATGGAAGACGAAGTCGTAATACACCATTAAATGATGCCGTAATCATAATCAAAGTAGCGGATATCTAATGGTTTCTAGTAAAATAACAAACGTTTAATGTTTTCCCGTATGTCACTTAGCGGATATCTAATGGTTTCTAGTAAAATAACAATCGTTTAATGTTTTCCCGTATGTCACTTAGCGGATATCTAATGGTTTCTAGTAAAATAACAATCGTTTAATGTTTTCCCGTATGTCACTTAGCGGATATCTAATGGTTTCTAGTAAAATAACAATCGTTTAATGTTTTCCCGTATGTCACTTAGCGGATATCTAATGGTTTCTAGTAAAATAACAATCGTTTAATGTTTTCCCGTATGTCACTTAGCGGATATCTAATGGTTTCTAGTAAAATAACAATCGTTTAATGTTTTCCCGTATGTCACTTAGCGGATATCTAATGGTTTCTAGTAAAATAACAAACGTTTAATGTTTTCCCGTATGTCACTTAGCGGATATCTAATGGTTTCTAGTAAAATAACAATCGTTTAATGTTTTCCCGTATGTCACTTAGCGGATATCTAATGGTTTCTAGTAAAATAACAAACATTTGATGTTTTCCCGTATGTCAGTTAGCGGATATCTAATGGTTTCTAGTAAAATAACAAACGTTTAATGTTTTCCCGTATGTCACTTAGCGGATATCTAATGGTTTCTAGTAAAATAACATGCGTTTTTCACGAGCGTGGTAGAATATTTCCATTTTTCACAATTGTTGATTTTGTATGTATGAAAATAGGTATAATAAAGTAAAACTAGTACTATCAATATTCATAGATACAAATTACATGAAAATTCTGGTGTGGAAATTTATCAGTTTGGGGATTAATTGTCAAGCCCCCTTTGAATTGTAGTGCCTTGTTTTTACCTGTAGGTATAGCAATTATTACGAAAACGAGGCTTGTCTTGTGGTCAGATGGACGCGCCTTCAACGCTGCCAGCGCCAGTTTAGACTGTGAATGGGAACTCTATAGAAAGGGTGAGCGAAGATGTTTTTGAGTAGATAATTTTGTTTTATACGTAAACGTGTAACATTTCTGCACAGGTTTCAGTTTTATTTTTTACAAAATCGAATTAAGCATAACAATCATCTGCCCTAGGTGGACCCGGCGTGCCTACTATGTCGTCATGGATCAAACAAGAACTCGGAGATTCCGTGATTGGGTCATGTCCTACTTTTCTCTCATCAGGTCATTTTTTTCAATTTTTGTTCACCAGCTACATCAATGTTTTTGTAAACAAATTCGTGACTTTAGCTTTTTGTTATTGATAAATATACCTTTCTGCTTTTCACATATATAACGATACCTCATACGTCCAATCAGAAATGTAATATAAGTGTACTATCAAAACCACTTTGATCAACAAATCGTATTTGGCCGATATTATCAAATAATTATGTTTTATTTCTAACCAGACGCGCTCATTGTTTATTAATTAGAAATAAATCGAAACTGGTTTAAGTTACCAATTGTTTTTGTAGCATGGTGGAGAAATTTTGAGCTGAGCTTCCTCAAATCTGATATTCGACTACAGGCTATAGAGGTTGACCTGGTAGAACAGATTTGGACTGACAATCGTCCCCCTGAAAGTACTGTCACGATCAATGCGCTGCCAACACAGTTCTCAGGTAAGGTACTCAAAATAAAGTGATTGTATAATGACTTTAATGCCTATCCGAACTTCCTGTTACGATATCTAAAAAAAGGCTGTGATAGCACCGTTAGTTTTCAGAAGTTATCATTTTCCCCCTATTTCACAAACCGATTGATGTCTTGATCTCTTTCAAACCACAGCAAAAACAATGAGAGAGGGTCTAGTGATTCTTAAGATCGTTTAAGGTTTGCAGGCCTTATATCTGAGGTTTTCCTTGCGAGCTGGATCCTAGGCTGTAAATTAGAGACATGCAACATCGTAGTTAAATCGTTTGAAAATCTGAAAATAAATAGGTAATTGCTATTTTAATCTAGAATTAGTTTCTATTCTAACATTGTATACTATTTTGAACTTCTGCTGAACTTTTTCATTAACGGGCAATATTAGGTAGGAATCGAGCAGTGCTTTAAAGTTTTAAACAAGCTACGAATCGCGGATAGTAAATATTCTGACATGTACTTTGCAATTATTGAACGGAATAACTGTTTTTTCCCCATTTGTTTTGGTGGCAGCATTTTGTTTAATTTATATGTTTTCATTATATTGACCATACAAATTCGTTTTAGCATCTGAAACGAATATGAGCAGTATCTTTCTTGTGTGTTATCAGGAAGGAGTTGGCAGGACAAAGTAAGAGACACGTTTGTAGAAATGGAGAAGGCTGAAGTGGATGTCCTTGTACTCAGTGATCTTGACGAGTGTCCATGTAAGTGTCGGTTGTCTTACTGATTATTATCCTGGACACTCCAGGGGCTACGCCCACTTACGATCTCTGCACCCCATCCTCGATACTCCAGGGGTGTCGATGAGACGAGAAGACTAACATGATTATTTGATCTACATCAAAAGAATATTACGGTCGTGTAACGGTAAAAATTACTGGCTTTGAAGTCGGATGTCGGTCCTCTGTCATCTTTAAAGGACATGTATCAGTCTAGCGATTGGTAAGGCGTTTGTTTTTTTACCTGAAACCAATCAAAAAGAGATCCACGTGGCATATTCCAGGGGCATTGAGAGCGAAAGTGAGCGTAACATGTCCGTCATACTGATACTGTAGCAAAATACTTTAGTACAATATCTTATAGAAAATCAACAAGCCAAAAGTATACAATTATATGACTTTATATACATTTCTCGTGTAGCGTATTGCCTTATTTTTGTGATATATTTACTGTATATATTACAAAATGAAGTGTCAACATTGAGAAATGGTTGTTCGGATGCGACTGCTAATATTCAATCCTGTGTTATATCTTAGGGCTTTTCAACATGAGAGCATTCGATTTCGGATACAGACCTCACTTTTTCGCATATGCCGTAATCGAGAGGCGACAGAACAGCGCAAGGTAATGTAATAGTCGTAATATACATTAATACTTATATTTATATACATACATACTTATATTTATGTACATACATAGTTATATTTATATACATTCATACTTATATTTATATACATACATACTTATATTTATGTACATACATACTTATATCTATATACATACATACTTATATTTATATACATACATACTTATATTTGTATACATACATATTTATATACATACACACTTATATTTATATACATACATACTTTTTTACTGATAGATTATATCTGCATGATCATACGTCGATTCTCACTCGGAGTCCCTCGGATCCCGACGTTCATATAACAATTATGGAGCATCTCAACACGGATGAAAACGGAAATTGTAAACCTCGGACTGAAGATGTAAGTCAGTCATACTCTCTCATACCACTTAAAACAGATATCGTAACTTTAACGTGCATAACAGTTTAATTTTTAAATAATAAAATAGAATATTGTATAAAGAATTATCTAATTTTAAACGTTTTGATTGAACACATCTTTTCTTATTCTCTAATCGTATGTTTTTAACATTTTAACCAATTTTGACATCATGAATATAATTAATAACTGTATGTAACTTTTACTACAAAGCTGTTGATCAACTCTATGTAAGATTTGAGTTTGTTTCTTAGTTTTGGTGAAATATGCTGTTTAAGGTCTCCCTTAATTTCCAGAATGGTCCTGACGACACCGGCGCCTGTACAGTGACAGATGATGGAGTGAAATCGTGTTCTGTAGACACTGACACGTGTCTGGAAGTAAGTTCTCTGGGTTTTTAATTTCATCGATTTCTAGGATAATCTTCGTCCACGAATTTATAGGTTAACAAAGTAATTACAAGTTTGATATAAATCAATTCTCAGTTTGAATGGGTACTCATCATTCACGAAATCATTTGCCAACGAAATGGTGTTTTGTCAGGAAACTACGAAATGTGAGCCCCACGAAAAACTGTTTTCACAGTATTCAAAATTTATCAAAAATATTTGCAAACTATCTTTTCGAAGACCGAAGACTTAAAATGCTAGCCGAAAAAAACACATAACTACAGAAAAACAAATCTGGTTGTATCGTTATATAATTTCAGAAAAATACCCTAAAATCATATAATCAGAAGGCAAGCTCTACATTCACAAGAACGTAGCTGGTCAAAATCATGTGCTATAGTGAAATCGCTTATTTGTATATTGATGTTTGAAAATTACTCTTGATACCATTCATTTCAATGCTAATATTTTATATCCGATAGTATGTGTATGCGTAATAGTGCTTAATGTCTACATCGACAAAGGCATTTTGATTATTTATCAAGTATACACTGTATGTGCGGAATTCAATTCGTCCTCGATGTATGCCAACTGTGCAATCTCGTCCATCGAGTTACGTCGGCTCCACTGCAGCTGAATGGCAACCCTTTATCAGGAAACCAACACGTCCTTGATTGATGCAAACATTTCTCCGTAAATAGGTCAATTTCAGGTCATACAGGTCAAACAGTTGATAGACACCCTCGTAGCTACGTTCTTGTTGTCACCCATTGTAGAAAGTCCCACAACTTTCTCACAGTCAATTCTATGAATCACATAGCACTGTTATAACAGGATTCGACTGTATCTGATGTTTTAATTCCTCGTATTTATGATGTATATTTGTACACAATTTAGTTGGACAGGTATATCAGTTGGCATTACTACGTAATTAAGGGGTTTTGTATGTGTGCGACCTTTCGGAAAAAACAGCATCACACTATTGGTTCATATTTAGGTAACATCGTTGTATCAAAATTATTTTCATGGCTCGTGAATATCAAAGGTCACACGTTAAGACAGGTTTTACATAATATTAGCGGATTATATTAAACACAGACTTCTTGAGCTATGACTCGAGACGAGGGTTGTTCTGTGTGCAAAATAACAAAAATAAGCTAAAGGGACGTAAATTTCGTCAGTTTGTTTATTTATCATAGTGATTTATGATTAAATGAAATTCCTGATGATATTGTCACTGTAATGTCTCAAAGTAAAATGGAATTAATAGCACAGCGTCAACTTACAACGGCAGTAATTGTACAAAGAACATGGAACAACAAGGTAATTTGTTGGAATGGTGAATTCTCCTGCATCGTCTATTGGCAAATCTGGTGTTTTCAAGTGATAAATCAAGTCATCATGACGACTGCAAAATATGAAGTCTACTCCCTATAATCTGTGTTAAGTAGTTTTGATAATACGTGGGTTTCCTTTCCGAGGAAAGCCGGAAAATTGATATATTTCCTTCATGGGGAGATGAACGGAACAAATACACAAGTGACCTTTAAAATTTGGTAAAAGAGACAGTATGCGAAAAAATAATCACACTGCATCATTCGGTTTGGGATAAGTGAGCTAGTATATGCCGTGTAATAAAAACTGCGGCAATTGCATCAGATTGCCAAATGACATAAGATGTATTTCACGATGTGACAAATAAGGAGGAATGCTATTTTCTATTCGTTATGTTACACGATAGGTACGAGAATACGATTTACAAGCTGTGGTTGATGATATTCGACAAGCATCCTCACAACCCCAGACGAGGAAGGTGTGGGTGTCGCCATACTGTAACCATGCTTTGTACTCTGCTATCCCTGAGGTGAACACATTACAATATTCTTCAAAACAAAGAAGTTTTCCATTTTGTAGTCTGCAATTTTAATGTCGTCTAAACTATCTACCTTTAAACCGGAATCAAATCAAAATGAATTATCATTTAATTTGATCAAAACATGTTGCTAAACATCTGCAATCAATGTAAATATATAATTCTTTTTTACACATTTAATTTCGCGAGCTGTCAAGTCTTTAGCTAAAAGCAAAGACATCATTACGGTTTCATTTTGCGCCTTTGTCGACCATTTAGCATTTATAATTGTTTGAGTGATACTGGAATTCGTGATCCATTTAAAGCCAAAAAAATGCGTTTTCTACAAAACATACAGTTCAAAATAATATTCGGCATATTTGTATTTGTAAATGTAAAGATTGTAAAGTATAGTATATATTTTTAAAAATTTTACAGGTAAAGGTTTACCAAGCACCGACTTCCATCTCTATATACCATATTTTATTACAAATTTTACAGGTAAAGGTTTACCAAGCACCGACTCCCATCTCTATTACCAAAGCTGTACGGAATCCGGTTGAAATCAAAGGAATGGTCGACTCCAATGTAAGTTAAATCGTTCTTCTGCTTTTACAATAATAACACTATATTGTTCAGTTCCAGTCTGTCAATTATAGTTATTAACTCGAGTTCGAATTGTACATACGTATTATTTCAAAACATGTAAATATACCTTATGATTTTATTAATTATGGCGTGGTTTTTTTTTCTTTTTTTTTTCTCTTTTTTTTTCAGTTGGTCGATTCAGCAGCGGTGATAAGATTTTTTGCGAAGCTGGAAAAGGAGGTAGGTAAGGTAGACAATGAACACGTATTGCATAAGACCAAAGATTATAATCATCTTGATTTTTACAGTTTTGTTGCTTACTTTTAACTTGAATACTTATACAGTTTATTTGACGTGCATAGCAGGTTCTTAATTTTTTAAAAAGGCATTTCTGCATGAAATCGTTGGGACACTAGATCGCGCAACACCCAACCTCTGTCTTTTATATAAAGCTTGTTTCGTATACGTTATACCACGAAATAGAAATATTTTGCAAAATATAGCCCGAGCAGTATGTTTTGAATATCATGTACAAATAATAAAAGTTTTTTTCTCTATACTTACAGATAAAGCAAGGTAAAGATTGGACAGTTTTCCAGGCATTTAATGATGTTCTAAATTATAGAAAGTAAGTATGATGTATATTTGTTATATATCTACAATAAAATAAATTTCGTGTTGAAGTACTAATAACAAAGGCATAATTAATTAATGAAAACTCTTCTTAATGAATTTCTTGATCAAAATTCGCTCTTTTACAGAGAAATACCATATTTCCGATCGCCAGCATTTAGGACCTTGACCGGAAGTGGCCCGTCTGCTGCACACTTATACAACCTTCCGACTCAGGAAAGGTCACGAAAAATTACAACAAAGGAGATATTTATGCAGGATACGGGAGGCCAATATATGTTAGTAATACTTAACAGTTGCAGATTATGAAAAAGTCTCATATTTATGCTTTTAAATTCATGTTTATGTAACTGGAAATGTTATGGTTTTCAAACTGGGGCTACAATAGAAATGTCCATCTTAGCGCGGAACATTTTAATACTTTAAATACAACATAGTGTTCATTATTCATTTTCACTCTGGACAACTTTTGTTGTAGAAAATCTTGTGCACAAGATTTACACTAACCCCTCAATAGATATAGTTGTTATCAATACAATAGTATAGTTACACCATGCTCTACACCAAATTACATTTGTGTGGTCGTCTGGGTCAAAGGTCGCATTTTACCTCTTTGAGAGGTATCAATGGTAAATCTTTGTGAACCAGCTCACTGTGTGTCTATTTGTTAAAAAGTTCCTTTATATAACATTTTAATACATCGTCTACGTACTTTCTTATTCTGTGATTTATCATATTCGTAGAACGAAATATATGGTAATAAACACTGTAGTTGTTTCCTCCGATAAAATCAGGAGGTACTGGAAATATTTTCTCTCATTCAGTGTAGTATTGGTACAATTACATACCTTCCATACTTTTGATCTGATAAGTATAAATATGTGATGTTTCAGAAATCCTGGTACCACCGATCTTACCAGGTCATTTCATTATGGTGAGCCCACTGAAACGGAAAAGGTAATGTAGCAATGAAGCAAAGCAGACCTCCGTTTAATCCCCATTGGTTTATTTAGTTTATTTAAGATAATTAAGTATTATTATTTATACAAAGTTTAAGGTGAAACCCACCTAGTTGGGTATTATATTTTCCCCATTACCGAAACTCGAATAAAGACATTGTGTTATTGTGAAACCAGTGCTAGTAGGGATCTATACATGTATTTGAAGGTTTGAATAATTGAATTAGCAGATTTATGCTACATATCTTGGCAAAGCTTTTTAATCTAACCATCACTTATCCAGTTGCTCGATTCTGCAGACACCACTTACTAAGTTGTCCTTTTTCCCGGAATAATAAAATCTATAACATGTACCTGTAACTGAGCAAGATCGGGTTATCTCAGTTGAGGGTTAAGATTCTGTAACAAAATCCCAACCGAGGCGTAAGCCTGAGACTAAGATAACCCGATCTTGCTCAGTTACAGATAATTGATTTTTTTTCTCGCACCTTTTAGTTAAAAATAATAATAATAAAAACTACAAGTATCCCGCCTCGGGCCTCAAATGATAATGACCTCTTTACTACTTTAGCTACATTTGAATGCTTCCGCGTATAAATGTAGTCCGTCCTTACATAGATTACAACGTATTTCACAGTATAAATTATATTTTATCTACAACATCAAATATCTAACATCATAAAAACTATACATTTAACGACAAAACAGAACATTTATAGTGGAAATTGTCAATTTCAAGCAGTTAATACAAGGATGAATACATCGCAGTGTAAAAATTCCGCGAAATGTCACGTAAAGGTACAAGTCAGATCTGACGATATAGAAAAATCAAGCATGGGGTATGACGTTGGATATCTCTGTCTGAGGTGCGAGAAACCACGTTTCCAGGTGCGTAACCCTCAAGCCACCGCCAAGCCAGTTGTCCCAATCTCCAGCTACCACTAAACTAGTTGTTCTACCTATCAGGCAAGAAAATGCATGTCTTTTCCTATACAAAATTGTCCTTGTAAGTAAGACCGTTTACATTCCAGCATGTGCACTTTGCAATACCTTCTACTAATATGAGTGCATGCATGCATGTTTCAGGAAATATATACCCGTGTGTTAATGGTTCTTGCGGATATATCCAAACTTGTCTGGCCTAAGGGAAGAACAGGTATGGCTTAAAACGATTGTGACACTGATCGTGTTGTGTCGTGTTGTCCTTTTTTGCTTATCTCAGCAATACTATGATTTATATTAACTAAATATGAGGAATCGAATCAATAGAAATATCACTAAAAGATTTGTGAAAGGAAACGATGAAATTATTTGTGATATGCGAATGGATTAACTTGCAAACAGCAGCAGAATGGCTTATTTTAATCAGTCAGTCTTCTAGGAGGTATTAAAATGTGACGTTTTTTTGACAGGTCATGATATTGATGTCGTTGCGAGACAACATCTGTGGGAGATCGGATTGGACTTCTCCCACGAATCGGGACATTCAATAGGTTCTTATGGGGGTGTGACTGAAGGTAATGCGACATCTGTCATTGCCAAAGCAAATACGTCTTCATTATCTTATTTGACCTATTATACTTTCTTTTTACCATTATTACTATTAGTGTCCTTGTTATGAGCTTCATTTATGCATTTCAGAGTTTCATACTATATAGAGATACCAATGATTTTTCTTGATATACCCCTCAAATTCTCAAGTCATTAAATCTGATGTTATATGTTGTCAATGTTGTGTCTTAGGTCCAGCAAAAATATCTTCATCAATGTCAACGTTTTTATCGGATGTCCCGTTGCACGCCTCAATTTTTACTCATGGTAAGTTATTTAGTTAGCTTTATAGAAAACATGTATAAATACTGGTAAATTATACATACCTTTGTTTGTTTGGTCAAACGAGCTCATGCTGTTATCGTAATTAAATCTTGTAGTAGTAATACGCCATGAAGATATTAGATTTGTGTTGTAATGTTAATGTGTAGCAGTTTCGATTTCGTTGATAAAAATATACCGTAAAGTTTGTTAGTTTTCTACAGATCTATATTTGACGATCAATATTTCGATCCCGATGAAACAAATCACGGATATTTAACTTCGAAGAGTCGCATTCAATACTCAAATCAGCTTTCGTATTTTACGTTTGTAGATGAAAACAAGCACCATTTCCCAGATCCGTCCGAGATACCATTGGAGGAAAATATGTTCTTAACGTGTGGTATGTAACGACTTTGCTGCTTCATTGCTTCAAGTAATCAAGAAAAGGGAAACTCCCTTTTCAGGATTTCTACCGTTTTATTTGTATATGCAAATCAAAGATATATCAAATGCGATATTGCAAATAGGAATGCCATAGTGTTGATTGTAATGTCACTATACGTGATTCTGACGTTCAGCCAAAAGACATCAACACAAGGTGACTTTGACAGGTCGCTCGCAATCACATGGTGTTTCGGAAAATAATTAAAAAAATCAATGTTTTTGTTAATTATAATCTGCATATTATATTAGTCACTTTGTGAGAAGGTCATATGAAACAGTTTTTGATTGTTTATCGTTTAAATCTGTTAGATAATTAAAAGAAAGTTTTGCGAATCTCTCTTGCATTCAATGCAAACTAATTGATTTCTAATTTCTTTATTTTCAGAGCCTGGTTTTTACCAAGTTGGTAAGATTGGCGTGAGATTGGAGAATGTCAATAGAGTAAAAAGTGTACAAGGTTTAAAGGTAAGGATACTATCGATATCTTTTAATAATACTCGTACCGCCATTTGATGTATCAATTGTTGAGAGTTAAATATTTTATGGGTAAAATATATTTGTGTTATTGTGTGTAGAGTTTTGGACAGGAGGCGGTTGCATTTGTGTTCATTTTTGTCCTTGTATGTATTGACATTATATCATGCTACATAATACTTATTGTCTTTATTAGTGATAGGTAAAATACATTTTGTTATTGTGTGTGGGGAATAGGGCAATTTGGGAGGATAAGATAGTTTAAGGGTAAGCGTATTTGCTGTCAATGTTTGTCTTTGTGTATTTACACCATGCTACATATGTTCTTTATTTTAATTTATGGATGTAAATTATGCCGATTAGGTCAAATCGATACTTAATACCCAAATACTTAATTATTCATTAATTATTTTAATGTTTTGTTGATCATTTTACATGTTATAACAATTTAACGTCTTTCATCTTGTTCCACATCTACCGACACAATTCTGCTGCAGTGACATCAATTTGGAGTGTTCCTCATAACTACATATTGCATCCTGCCAACATGACATATTTTGTTTTAAGAGTTAAAATTCTTACAAAAAGACGTTTAATATGACCATTTATTTCCGTTTAGTTTCAGAGCACTACCCAATGCCAGTTTCTAGGATTGGAACCTATAACACTGATACCATTCGAACCTAACCTTATCATATACGACATGCTGAGTTTACCTCAGGTAAGATTTCAATTTTTTTAAAAATTGAGTCTGTCCGGCTGTCGGTCTGTCTGTCTGTCACGCTTCATTTCCGTGCAATAACTGCAACAAGTGTTAACCGGTTTTCTTCAAACTTGGTAACAAGGTCAAATGCCTTAAGGGCTCAGCACAGTTCGATAACCATTTTAAGCGGACTTTATTTGGCGGAGTTATAGCCTCTTGAATAACGAAAAACGTCAGTATCTGCTGTTTCCGTGCAATAACTGCAACAACTGTTACCGATTTTCTTGAAACTTGGTAACTGGGTTAAATGCATTAAGGGCTCGGCCAAGTTCGATGGCCATTGTCAGCGGACTTTATTTAGCAGAGTTATGGCCCCTTGAATAACGAAAAATGTCATTATCTGCAGTGTTCGTGCAATAACTGCAACAAATGTTTCCGATTATTTTCAAACTTGGTATCAGGGTTAAATGCCTTAAGGACTAAACTTAACCTCAATAATGTTTACCTACAATATGTCCTGCAAGCGGGGTATGTAAATTCCACGATTTTGTTGTTGTTGCAATATGTCATTATTTAATCAATACCGATAACAATCTCCCTATCAAACCAAACGATAATCAATCAGAGGTGATTACACGTTTAAAATTGATAAATTTGATAATGGATGCAATATGCTAAAAATGAATTATACTGCACTGTACTGCTGTTTTGTTCTTCTACAATGTAGGACTCAAAGGTAACAATGCTAACACTATTAATGCGAGTTGAATTTCTTCTTTCAAAATACTGCTACTGTTTCTTAAACATATGGCGCTGCTATCCAGTCTTATTGATGATATGGTTAACGTATTTCTTTTATCAAAAGATGCTTATATTCACAGTTGGAATGGTTAAATGCCTATCATCAAACCGTATTGGAAAAAGTCGTGCCTGTATTGAAAGAGTTCAAAGATGAAGATGCCATAAAATGGGTTCTCGAAAGGACAAAGACAGTTAAACGAGGATCGTGATCATGAATTTATTATTATTTATTTTATCTTATAATATAATAATACTGGGCGCAGGCAAATGTCTTTATATCCAGATAAAATATATCGTATAACCAGTCAATAAGTTCAATAAGTTCAATAAATTCATTACAGTCAATAAGTTCATTATTGTCAAGTTCGTGAAAAAACATTGTAATTGTCCCAAGTGTTTTGGAGTTATAGCGACGTGATTTGGCAGGGAATTCCAATGGTTGTCAGCTCTTTCTTTTAAGGAGTTCTTTCTTAAGTTCAATTAAGACTATAACCTCTTGTTCGTTTGTTATCGTTTATATTTAAAAAGCCTACCGTTTTAAAAGTGTCATAGTATCCATGTATTAGTTTAAAAACGTATTTCTTATTTTATCCCGTTTTAATAGAAGGAAAGAAATATTAATTGGGAAAATAATATTTCAAAAGTGGACTTTATTTTTGTTAGTGAAAGAAATTAAGCTAAAAAGTGTGGCACCCTCTTATATGATTCAATTATAAGGTATGTATACTTTTTGGTGAGTGACTGAGAGTATAAGTTATATATATATATTTATAACATGTTAGATATTATGTGTTCTCATAAGTTTTGATGATTGACTTTATGTGATATACTCGAATATTTCAATTTAATTGGTTTTGTCAATCAAATGATAGCACTCCCTCTAAAATATCATCTTTTGGTGATCTAACGAGTAATTAAAACATAAGGTTAATGGGTAATGTTGTTATCCAAAACTCAGTATGTGTTGTCCTAATTAAAAAGATCTGTATCTGAAATAGGACTTTAATGACATTCAATTCGTGAATTTTCCGCTTGTTCTTTGAAACTGGTTTTCGCATTCAAATGGTTTTTTCTTTAAGCATTTTGTTCAAAATAACAAAATACACTCGAATCTGAGACTGTATTTTGTCAAAATAATTTTTTGTCCATTTGTACCTGGGATAGGCATGAAGTGCCATCACCTTGGAAAATTCCTCAGCGATTTGCTACAACTGAATTCAATGTATATGTAAATACTTAATCATGTCAAAATGTCAAATTCTAACGTTACTACTACCGCTCTTATATTGCCAGCGCAGCTCGTGAAAATAGTTTGATTTTTCCCCGGAGTTATTTTGTGTTTTATGAAAATCCAAGATTATTTTTAAATTATTTCATTCCGTGTTCAATTAAGCATTGAACTGTTACCAGATGTAGTATACAGTCGGTATGAATGCAATTTGGGTGACAGACAAATAGAATGTCGCCCGTTAGGCGTCTGTCATTCAAATTGCATTCATATCGACTGTATACTTTATCTGGTAACAGTTCAATGCTTATATTTACATTTATACAGTTTGTTTTGTATAGTAGCTAAAGCAAATATACGTTTGAATTTCCCGCTTATCATATCAGTGACGTCAGTAAGTTCAAATCCCAGAACAGCCGAATTTTCCAGAAGAAATAATATAGTCCCTCGTATCATTGCAAACCACACGCACATAAAATGGTTTGAACACAAACTGAACTTTATTATTTATTTCAAATGAGTGCATGTATGTTGAAAAATTGTTAATAATTGCATAACTTCAGCTTGTTTAAAAAATAAAGCTGTTTTTCGCGCATTGATAGATTACATGTATTTGGAAGTGATGCGGCGTAAAACGGACTTTATTGTTTCCTCAGAAACGCTTATGTTTCCATCGACTGGAATATTACGTTATTTTCAGAAGCATATATACTCGGAATTTTTTAATTAAAATGGTCCTTTCAGTAGGTGATAACGATTCCAAGGACATTTCGTTTGAAACAGATTCCATGTCTAATCGGTCAGATTAGTATCGCTAGCAGGCGATGTTCACAGGGGCTCGGTTTCATGATTTTGAGTAATGGATGACATCACTGAAGAACTACAACACTTAAAAAGGTATTTATACACATTCTAAGACCTTGTTGATACCTTCGACTTTTACAAGGTTTATAAATGCTGAATTTTAGTGTTGTGGTTATTCACTGATGTTATGCATAACTCAAAATCTAGAAACCGAGCCCCTGTGAGATAACGTTGACAAACTTGATAATTTCGTATCTAGAATGGCGCTTACAATAATTTTGTGGTACCTACACATCTTATAATAAATTTATATTGTCATAATTTGTCAAGTTGCTTTATTTTTTTGCGATGACCTACATTGCTAAGTGCTAACTAACCCAAACAGTTCTCTGACTATAACCCTTTTGATACCGAAAGTATCTGGTGGCCATGCATGTCCCTACACNATTTGTCCATTTGTACCTTGGATAGGCATGAAGTGTCATCACCTTGGAAAAATCCTCAGCGATTTGCTACAACTGAATTCAATGTATATGTAAATGGACATATGCTGGAATGCTATACATACTTAATCATGTCAAAATGTCAAATTCTAACATTACTACTTCCGCTCCTATGCTTATATTGCCAGCGCAGCTCGTTAAAGTAGTTTGGGTTATTTTGTGTTTTATGAAAATCCAAGATTATTTTTCAAATTATTTCATTCCGTGTTCAATTTAGCATTGAACTGTTACCAGATGTAGCATACAGTCGGTATGAATGCAATTTGGGTGACAGATAAATAGAATGTCGCCCGTGAGGCGTCTGTCATTCAAATTGCATTCATATCGACTGTATACTTTATCTGGTAACAGTTCAATGCTTATATTTACATTAATACAGTTTGTTTTGTATAGTAGCTAAAGCCAAATTACGTTTGAATTTCCCGCTTATCATATCAGTGACGTCAGTAAGTTCAAATCCCAGAACAGCCGAACACAAACTGAACTTTATTATTTATTTCATATGAGTGCATATATGTTGAAAAATTGTTAATTATTGCATAACTTCAGCTTGCTTAAAAATAAAGCTGTTTTTCGCGCATTGATAGATTACATGTATTTGGAAGTGATGCGGCGTTAAACGGACTTTATTGTTTCCTCAGAAACGCTTATGTTTCCATCGACTGGAATATTTCGTTATTTTCAGAAGTATATATACTCGGAATTTTTAAATCAAAGTGGTCCTTTCAGTAGGTGATAACGATTCCAATGACATTTCGTTTGAAACAGATTCCATGTCTAATCGGTAAGATAGCATCGCTAGCAGACGACGTTCACAGGGGCTTGATTTCATGATTTTGAGTAATGAATAACATCAATGAAGAACCACAACACTTAAAAAGGTATTTATACACATTCTAAAACCTTGTTGATACCTTCGACTTTTACAAGGTTTTATAAATGCTGAATTTTAGTGTTGTGGTTATTCACTGATGTTATGCATAACTCAAAATCTCGAAACCGAGCCCCTGTGTGATAACGTTGACAAACTTGGTAACTTCGTATCTAGAATTGCGCTTACAATAATTTTGTGGTACTTACTCATCTTATAATATATTTATATTGTCATAATTTGTCAAGTTGCTTTATTTTTTGCGATGACCTACATTGATAAATGCTAACTAACCCAGAAAGTTCTCTTACTATAAATCCCTTTTGATACCGAAAGTATCTGGTGGCCATGCATGTCCCTACACTGACCGAATCACTGTAAATTGCAGTTTACAGCCTCATATACTGGAATTTTGTTTACTAACGACATATAGGCAAATGCAACACATAATGTAAATATTAATATTTTAAGGTTCAACCAATTACAATGGCATTATATGAAATTTAAAAATACAATATATCGATGAATGCATGTCCTTCATTTAAAGTTATATCCTTCATAGGCATTTTAAACATACCCCAAAACAAGCATTTCTAATTTAAAGTTTTATCTCGAAATAGGCATTTACCGCAATACGTCAAAGTGAACATTTTTGCTGATTCAATTCGGTCATGTAACCATAGACGAAAGGTATTGTTATCGGGGCGAGGTGTTCCGAGTGCATTTTGCATAACTTCTTGTTGAACTCATACAACTGTTAATGAAAAGGGATGTAAAAAAATGTAACTTATATATAAAGGTAGGTGTATCGATGGTGTATTGTCGTAGAATACCAGGAATTTCATTTTACTTGTATATGATTTGTATTCAGAAATTGAAATTAAAGACACACAAGGGTTCTATAATTTCGTGTCCGCTTTGCTGTTTGCTTGTGTTCTTGTATCGACAATGTTACATACATTTCGTTCTACTGCATCTTCACAGCATGAAAGAAGATAAGCATTCAAAATTTTAAGAAATACATATGAAAAAAGAATTGTAAAACAAAAAGATGCGACATTGTATTTAGAAACAACGTTTATTTACCTGGTGATTTATAATCGTAGAAAAATAACAATGAGTAGTGTTATTCACGAAATGTTATGTGAATCATGACATAACGTAATAATACATTTAAAAATAATGACAACTTTATGACTCCAAAGGACTGGAAATGCAAACTCCTTTTTTTATAGAAATTATTACGATCAAGCTATGAATACAGTGCAATAAAAATTTTGTATCGTCTTGTTGCATGATAAAATTGTGTAATTTTCATCGATGCGTTGAAATGTTTTTACAATTATAAACAAATTGTGTAACACGTATTACCAATCCGCATCATATCACCAACCTGTTTTATATAAGCATTTAAGAATGTCAAATGTAATTTAACTTTTTTAAATAAAAAAAAATAAAAAATGATAAATGATTCATAATGATGAAATACAATGCAATGAAAGATTTGAACATTCAAAGTAGAAATGAATAAATAAATAACTGTCTGCGGTAACATTGGTGTTGATCGCCCTCAGTTGATATTCCATGGTTTAACAAATCATTTCTCGCCTAACACGTGACATTTAACATTTTTGGGCGGTGGTGGGGACTTGTACAACTTCAGCCTATGTAGAAGGCTCACAAACATAGCAATGTCCAGCATACCATCATCGTCAGATGCAGTTTTCATGAAAAAATCGATTTCTTTTTCTTCTAAACATCTTCCGGTTCCTGTCTTCATTCCCTCCAGCCCTTTTCTCGCCTCTTCCGGATCCAGTTTTCCACTTCCGTCAGAATCGAGATCGTGAAAACACTTAACAGCTTCAGTAGCACTATAAAGAGAAATGGCAATGGGCTATATTTTAGCTTTAAAATTTAGACTTATTAATCAGGTCTGTTAGGAATGTAACACTTTAAAACAATATTAAAAGAAGAAAAATTAAACACATTGTTCGTTTATTTGCATTTATTCAGATACAACTTACTTGCTGCCAGCTGTCTCGTAGAACTGTTGAAACTCCCAAATACTCATGATCTTGTTCTTGTCTTTGTCAAACGAATCAAACATAATCTGAGCTTCATCTGCAGAGAGGCTAAACTCCGTCTGCAACATATCCAGCGCTTCTTTTTCATCCAGACGCTTGGCAGTACCGCTGACATAACGATCAAAAACGGCCTGTACTTCCTTTCTGTTAATAAAAAAGAGTTAGAACAATTAAAAAACCGTGTTAATTGGCACGAATCTGCGAGATCTAACCGCGTTAGATAACAGGAATCCTCGGTTTTAAATTGTCCTCATTGTAAGATATTCTGGTGATTTAACACCGCTAAATAAAAAGTGTCCTTCACTTTTAATAGGTCAACTTTTCATGTAGCCTTGTTTTCGAAATGTGTTCAGATTCTAATCGTCTATATCATGTTTTAAACACTAGATTGTCATTAATCCTTTTTTTTCAATGGCGTTTGGGTGAAGATTTGTACTTTAAAATTATCCTTAATGTAGCAGACAAATTTAAAATAATTATAACTGTTGAAGATATCTAGAAATATAGTATTAAATATTAAGCATCATGAGAACCTAAATCCTCTCGACCCAAACGTTAAAGCAAATTCGTTTGTTCAACTTTGGAAGAAAAGGTGGAATAATTATTCTTGAATATTCAAAAGGTAGATGTTCGCTTCGCTGCCTAAAATAAATAAACAAACAAAGCGAATGTATCGTTTGACTATTACAGCATAACATCCCGAGCAATTCATTACCTGTTTCCAAAAATTAGTGGTCAAAGGAACCCCCGAAAGAAGCTAGGGGGCAGAAAAAATCAATACAGTTGATCCTTTAAAATGTTGGTAATAGCTATAGTAAGTCAAAATTGAAAACACACTGTATCACACAGCTGTTTCGTCCTTCAAAGACTCAACGTTGATCATAGGGGCCAGAAAGTTTGAAATCTTAATTGGTGTTAACTACTGATAAAACAGAAGGAGTGTGCGAACAACCCCTTAAATACATGATTTTCAAATTTTGAGGGGCATTGGCTATATGTAATGCGTGTGTATATTATAAAACGTGTAACTATTTAAAAGAGATTACTGTGGCCATCAAGATTACGGCAAACTTCAGGCACTCAGAATATCCACCAGCAAAGTCTACCACATTGTATCTTGAAAGATATTAATTTGATATAAATGCGTTCTTTAAAGATAACACTCCAAAACGTTCTTCAATTTAAAGTATTAAATTATTTCTTGGTGTATTTTTCATCGATTGATTATAAATTAGACTTAAATTTTCTTTATTTGAAAAGATGATAAAATACATGTTCAGACATAAAACTATAACGTCTTAAATATATTTCCAAATTTAGTTCCTCTAAATGGAAACATTTTCCTTAACTACAACGGTTAAAATTAACACAGGATAATTGCATCAGAATTTCACGCTCAGAATTCGCTATGATGCAATAATTACGAGAACTCTATAACGATCCCAATGTCTTTAAAAATGTCTATTCTTTTACGAAATGGACAAATGTATTTACGTTTGCTTAATTGGAATAACAGCGCCTGCTCATAACAGGTACGTATTGTCACGTATTCGTCTGCTTGATAACAGACCTACACGATATAGTGAAGCAGACTTAAAACCTCTCAAATAAACAAACATTTAATTTTACTTTCATGAAAATGAAGAACTTATCAAAATGAAATTCGAATTCATAATTGAAAGTAAAAGGGCGCCTCCGAAAAAGGTAAAGTGATATACAATCCGACCCATTGCCTTACTTCCGGTATAGTGACCTAATAACAACCGAGGGATTATACGTACTAGATAACTCGTACACTGGAAATAACTCGTGTGTAATGAACCCAGGGTGAGACCAATTTGCCGTGAAATATGAAACGCATGCGCTTGGAGTAGCATTACTAAACTGCGCATCGTTTTATGATATATAATCCTAGCGAAAATGTTAAAAAACAAAGGTATTATACTGATTTTAACTTAACTTCTATTGCTGAAGATCAGTTAAACATTTATACTTATATAGGTAGCTACATAAAAGCGGAGTGCGCGTGCATTCAGCGGAGATGAACAAAACTAAAAAAAAATCCACATATATACCGCACACGAATTTTGTAGAGCAAGACTACAGAGCTTAACGTAGTGTAGGAAGCTTGAAATCACAATGAATCTAATATATATATAAAGTATTTATCTGTCTTATGATGCTTTTCCAGTGTGTACGACAACTTAGTATCACTCCTGCATTAATTTTATACAAAACTATACTAAAAGGGCTAGTTATAGATCATGCACGTTAACCATAAACGGGGTGGACATCGACCATACTTTTAATCAGCCGAAATCTGTTGGCAGGAGTTCAGCATCTTTTCTACATTTGAGATAGCGCCAGTGCAGACGATACACAAACCGGTGACCTTTGACCTTACAACGTGAGTTCTAGAGTTTAAGCTATTAAATATAACGAGATTCAAAAGAAGAACCACATGCAACATTCTTATCTTGAGTGCAAACTGACTCAGCAATGCTTAGAATATCGCAGGGCGTTATCCGTTGCAGAATGAGACTTGTTCTAGAGTCTGAAGTTTCAAGAGTTGTTGCATATTTACCGACAGAATATGTTCTAGCGGCCGACAAGGAAGATTGATTAGGTATGGAGCACGTACAATGAATTGACGGCGATTATGTCATTACTATCTGCTAAATCGATCAAGATAAAATGGAGTGTTACATGATTGGTATGACAGGAGGTCCATACACATATCTCATATACTGGTGATTGTAATCTCAGGCGAGGAATGTATACCGAATTAAAGGCATACTTGTTATTTCTTTGTTTGCATAAAACTATTGTTTAAATGCTCACGTATGCTTGGAATGTTCCCTATGCACAGAAGTTAATCAATGTATTTACACACATACATTTAATACATGTAATATCCTGTGGCACATACAGACATACAGATATTAACGAACGATATTTATTGTACATACAATTATTAACGAACGATATTTATTGAACATACAGATATTAACGAACGATATTTATTGTACATACAGATATTAACGAACGATATTTATTGTACATACAGATATTAACGAACGATATTTATTGTACATACAGATATTAACGAACGATATTTATTGTACATACAGATATTAACGAACGATATTTATTGTACATACAGATATTAACGAACGATATTTATTGTACATACAGATATTAACGAACGATATTTATTGTACATACAGATATTAACGAACGATATTTATTGTACATACAGATATTAACGAACGATATTTATTGTACATACAGATATTAACGAACTATATTTATTGTACATACAGATATTAGCGTATGAAATCTATTCTATATATATTGACTTATACCTACCTTTTTAATGTAAACACATTTCTTACTGGGAACATCACATACAAATGTTAATTTACATACAGATATTACCTTAATGATATTCATTGTACATGTACATACAGGAAATAATATTATATTTTATAGTACAATCATATATCAAAATTTGATCATTTATTGTGCATACGGATATTAACTGTCTTATCGTACTGTTCAATCCAATATCATTTTTTTTTTATTATACACATAAACTTATGTTATTTCTTTATAAATACATATGATCACTTCTGTTATTTATTGTATAAACAGACATTTAACTTGTGCTATATACTTACAAGACAAGTACATCAAATGAACACATGTAAATGATAACTTTGATACATTTTGTCATAAATAAGCTTAACAATCCACACAATCCTACCTAGTTACCTATATTACATATAAAGAGTTAACAAAACAGTGATAGATAATACTCACGGAATCTTTCTCCTCGCCATTTTGAACTGGAATGCTTGATGCCTGAAAGGGAACGACAAGATAAGTACTCTAGCGGATGGGGACGAGTTCAATGTAGACTGTTTACTTTGTTGCCTGGCTAAGAGATACTCACTGCGTTAGAAGGGGGTCATTTGTTTTCCATTAGGCTAAACAAGTTCAACTAGCGTTGTGGCTAACAATGTTCATGTTTGCCGGTTTCATAATAAGATCAAAAGCATTTACCATAGCTAAGTTGACTTAAGACTCATACCATTGCCAAATGATACAATGTTTTACAATTACTTGAATAAGTGACTGTTAAGAGTTATTGTTTAGTTAATTAATTGTCATGTAAAGGTATATTGAGAGTATCCTGTATGTAACAAGGCAGTTCCATTGTAAGCCTCTGAGCTAGGCACACGTCTACGCTTACCTTCAAGTCTAATACAAAATAGTACCACACGATTGGAGTTTATTGTTTGTACTACAGTATCTGGGAATCTGAGGGTAACAGTAACATTGAAAGGTACAACATTGTTTTCAGCATTTGTTATAGTGACAGTGACAAAATACAGAACCGGTTAAATTACTTCAATAAGTAACATTGACAAATATGACAATGTTTTAATTACTTGTACTAGCAAAAATGGCAAAAGTTTAAGAATGACAAATATTACAATGTTCTTATAATACTAGCAGCAATGACAAACGTAGAACAATGTTTAAAGTACTTGTTTTAGTAGTAAAAAAAAAAGATAAAAAAATAGCAATGTTGTATTCTCGTCCACGGGTTATGTTGACAAAATATAGCAAAATTGTAAGTACTTGTGTGAGTAACACTGACAAATATTAAAGTGCTAACATTACTTGATCTAGTAACAAGACAAACATGTTTCATCACTTATATGAGTACCGGTGTCAATAAAGTAGTTGTTTTTACTGCATGTCGACATTTTGAATGACATTTTTATCTAACTGTCATGTTATGTGTACTTTCCGTTATCAACGAGACAGCTACAACAGGACATGTGTGATATGTGTATAAACAATGTCATAAATTCGATAGAATGAACTACGTATAAACATTAACGATAAGATGTCATAAATTAAGACTAACAACTTGGTTCTACGTGGGTTTTTTTTTTTACTGTAAACAGCTGCTTGCTATGATTCACGGAACAAGCCCACGTTCCTAGAGTGTGTTCGCATGGTAACATGCTGGGGAAGTCATTATATTTTGTCTTTGCCAAACGAAGAAGTCATGTTTTCCAAAATAACAGGCGCGTTTGTTTCAAACAAGAAGAACGGGTCGGGAGGAATCCATTGCTTCATCAATATAGCATCTGTACCAGGAAACACGTTTTTATGTAATACAGGATCGTAAAGACAGTTATATCTGGAGACACATACTGGAAGTATGATGTTTGAGTCGATTGCAGGAGTAAATACAGATGTAAATGAGGGAAAGAGTGTAAGAAATACTGATAATGCGATACATATGATCAGCACATGGGACGTGTGATGTCACAGATCCTGCAACTATTATCTCTACTTTTTTATGCAGAATGCGCTGAGACAACATTACTGCATGCGTACATATCAGTGTATAAGTATGGTTAGCTGTGCTCTAGGTAAATATTGGGCATCAATTGAAATGTTATTAATTCCATTTAATTATCAATAACGTAAGCCGGGATAGAAATGCACAAAAAGACATGTTGATTATGAATTCGATTTAAAGAACGTTGCTTTTGAGATTTAATGTTGTTAATTATTTGTAACGTTCTGCCTATGGAGTCAGAAGTGTGGTTTTCCTGTTTTTCTTAAAAGAATAATTAATCCCAACCCACTTCTTCAGTACGATACACTTATTCTATCTGCCAAAGATTTGGGATATTACAGATGAGTGAGTACCGGTGAGGACAAATCTCTGGTAGATGTACCAGTTATTTCCCCGGCATGATGATCCAGAATGCCGGCCTGATGCAGTCTATAGACTATTCTTCATGAAGCTGCATGAGCTTTTCTCCTTTTCTGTTATACACGGGATATGTCAGTTTCATTACAGAGAAACATGTCATTAACCCCTTCGCACTGCCAACAATGAGTCTGGAATCGGCTAGCTATATAGTAAGCTTGAGGGGGGCGGGGTGGGGGGTAATACGCAGAGCAGAATACTCGTACAAACAAGATAGATGTCACGAATCGTTACATTTTTGTACAGTTACAGGTAACGAGATAATAACTACGGTTGAGTAATGAAACCATGTGGTTACCGTAGTGATACTAACACAAACACCGTATCTAACGTACATGTATGACCAGAACTATTTTACTGGTATACAGATTTATGGACACATTGGAATTCTGTTATTTTGGAAAAACAAATTTGTCAATGAACTTTTTTTTTAATTGTTCATTTCAATAATATCGATAGTTTCTGTGCTGTTTTGGTAAGCCGACAGATGTTTGCAATTATAAGCCTGTATTTGAGATGAGTTAATTATAAAGTTACTAACTACATAAGTATAGAACATGATAGATATGCGTGTTATGCATTTACAAATTTTCAGAATTATATGGAAATATACAGGAGTTTATCCATCTAGTTTCTTTACTTGGTTTTCCACATTCGCCTCAAGTCGTTCATTTCGATTTTTTGAATCAATCATTTCTCGACGATTTATATCTTTTGTGGAGTAAAATGATACTTAAATAACAGAAATATTATGTTCCGTTAACTTGGAAACATTTCAAGATTCTTTGTCTAAACTTAACGAACTTTTTCGTTTTACTTGCACAACATTTTTCGCTTAAACTTTATCACCACAAAAATGCATTACTAAAATTCCACTGATAAGTAGGATCAGAAAATAAAATTTCCATGTTTTGTATTCATACGAAATTCTCATAACGATGTTCATTTATGTAGTTAAATATTCACAAACACAGAAACATTATTAACTGAGAATATGATACAAAACTTACCTTTGTTCCGGTAAGTACTATCCGGATACAGTGTTGAGAGGAGAGAGCGAACGGGTATACTTATACAGACGAACCGCTCCCCAAACCGCAGTTCCGCCTTGATTATCATCAAAGTATACACGCATCATCACTTGAGTCAGACGGTAGCCTGATGGATGTGCAGTTATCCCCAGAACCATCTACAGCGCTTACTCACAACACAACATTGTCTTTGATGCAACCAAGGAAGCTTACTCCAGACACATTATTTATATAATATCTTTTTATATTTTATTTTTCACCAAAACAAAACCTATATATATATTGGGTGTACACGTATGTATAAAATTGGATTTCATCAGTTTGCAAGTACATCGACATCAAAAATATATCGATGTGATAACTTATCTAATTATTACGAAATAATTATTGCCTTTTCTTTAAGGAAGCGAACGGATGTAAACAAACTCCATTCACTAAAGCCTTAGTGTAATGTTGGAATTAAGGGTGTGCATTATTTGCTGTTTATAAAGGTGGAATTTCGTCTGACTCGCTTTAGAAATATGACACCTCTGCACGCGCAGGGCACGAGACAGTGAAGCACTTGCTATCGTAGGGTAAATTCTGTGGATTTGTATCTCTCGAATCTTCGCTACGAGATATCAGAGAACTTATTTATTGCCCTGAAGGATGGCTACTATCTCTGGAACAAACCATGGCGGTGTAGACTGCCCGAAACGTTAAACAAGAAATCTTTTCCAGCAGGTCCACGCGTCTGGTTCTGATGTTTATATGAGCCATGGACACAGATACATTATTAATTTTTACGAGGAATAGCAAAACAAAACCTGAAAAGGTTGATGAGAAACTGGATATAGACAGAAACAGCGTGTAAATTAGACGTCTAATACGATAAGGTTAATGTATTACTATCAACAGACAAGTGGACACACTGCTCTGTCGATATGAATACATTATTGGTTGGTATATTAAAAGAAACCACATCAACAATGCAAAAAAGGGCAAACAAAATATTGGTATCCTTAATGTGAACAAAGACCCCCTCCTCTCAAAACATTGGCATCCTTAATGTGAACAAAGACCCCGCCCCCCCCCCCCCCCAAAAAAACCCCATTGGTATCCTTAATGTGAACAAAATGACATTTGAGCGAATGGATTGCTCATTTATATTTATGGTCAGATTGTGGAATCTATATAAAATCAGGGATATACACTGTATATATATGTATACGCCTCTGATGAAATCTAATAACTTGTCTACATATATAAGCTCCAAAAATCAGTATGCTTGGTGGTTTATAAAATGATTACGACACACAGGAATTCTCACTGAAAAGAACCAAAAGTCTTCATTATAATAAAGGCTTGTCTATAAAACCATTGCATATGTGGTTTCTCAAAGAAAACCTAAAACAGTCTTTGTTAAAGTAATGGTTGGTCTATGAAATGGTTATGATACATAGGGTTTCTCACCAAAAAAACTCTGTTTTTGTTTAAATGTTCTGCTTCATGGTACTTGATGCTGGTGTGTTGGCACTATATGATACGCAATACATTATAGCTTCACAACGACGGGAACCATTGCTTCATTATAAAAACTGTTCGTCTGTTTACAAGATGGAAATTATTATTTACAATGCTTTGGATAATGCCCACTGTTCTGTTTATCTGTCAACAGCAGGGGGAGCTATCGGCGATCGCTGGCTCTGGGGATCCCTGCTACCATTCACCGTTGTACCCCAAACGAATTGACTTCCGCAATCTGTCATCACATACGTTTGTTTATGTTAATACTTTCCTGCTTGGTAGAAAAACTATCGATCAGGTTTTATCATGTGATATCTATCTAGATATAAACAATATAAAATTCTACGTAGAGCAATGGCATAGAGATAGAGAAAATTCAAACGTTGTACCTGATAAATTAAAGCTTACTTTAATGTAAGTTTGGAACAAAGTTGAAACAAGAAACCAATTCACAAAATAACGGCTAAATGATTTATGATTAAATATGTCTGTATCTTAAACTCTATGTATATACTATGTGTGTCCTGATTGTAACAAGAGTTATTTAGAAGGCGAAATGCACATTGCCTTATTACCTTATAAAAAAAACCAATGAAAAATAATTAAACTTATTCCAAACATTGCAGAGCAGTGTCCAAGCTCCAAGTTTCTGAATCACGGAGACAGATATATTTGGATAATGAACAATTATGATAAAAATCAATATTTACATTAACCTTAATAAATATGTATGAAAGACATACTTCAGTACTAGTACCTAATACTGAATTCGATTTATTGTGACATTTTTATTAATGACTGATATATCGTCCTACGTTTTTGATATTTTAGACTGTTTTTCGGCTAATCCGCTCTTGTATGGCACTTTCGTTTGTTGCAACAGCCTGGGCCATAGGAGGACGAGTGCCTAGGGTGATATCGACGAGAGAAAAGAGTTCGGAAATGAGAACAATAGAAAGATGTAACGTATGTTGCACTGCATTACTCCCTGAGGAGCAAGATTCGAAATAAAAATCTTTTCATGATAATTTTATCAAAAGTTTCCATGACATTATTATGACGTGTACGCATCATGGGTCCGTATTTTTGAAAGCGTTCTCGTGCTACAGTATGGATTCTGTGCTCAACGCAACTTTTTTTAATTCACGTAAATCATGTGATCATGCGTAGCCATCTAAAAACGTCATCGGTTTATAGTTTCTTCAAATGGTTTTCCTAGTTCTTGACATAATTTGTTTTGTTCTTTATTTATAACCGGAACAAGATATTGGGTTTGAGCAAAGAATCCGAGTTTGAGCATGGAAAAAGTTTCATGACTAAGGGCCCAAATGTTTGTCTTATTGTTCTGGTCAATATCCTGTAGTGTCAGAAAGTTAACAATTATTCATTCAGAATGTATTTACCCCCAGACCCCTGTCCCGAAGTATATCTAGTGCAGGCTATGAAGGAGATAACTTTAGTGGACTGCTACAACAGCTGAACAGAACTAACTGACTGCCTGACAGATACACCTCTCCATTATACAAATGTTTTGATTTAGATGGCAAAACTTCTGAACACGTGCACGAAACACGGTTTGCCAGCAAAGGTAATGCGTGCTGGGAAAATTAGGTAGACACGTACTCGGATTAGCGGTGTCTTTACTTCTATCGGACGCACCTGTTTATCTGCACGGCACGTCTGCTAATTTCAGACAGTAATATGTAGGTAATCTAACTGTTATGTAGGTATAGTGATTGTGAAAGTTCGTCCTTGACATTGTTATACGAACTAAAGAGTTCCGCAGTGGAGAAGGTGGACATCAGGCCAAGACTGCATGGTTTGCTATTAACAGGATGTTGTACACGAACTGGCCTATATGTATACATAATGAAATACTCTATTTTTTTAACAAGTCAAAAGGTGTCTCAACTTAAATACTGTTTCAGTAAACCATCCCAATTAACTTTTATATATCAATGTATTGTATTATATATTGACAGGCAAGGCACCTGCCGATAAACAGTAACCTAATTTAAACGCAATTGGGCATGCTTTCTGTGAAAAACGACTAATTTACACATTTTCCCCAGTATATTAATAAGACATTCTGCTGATTTTCGTATGATAGTGTTTTGCCGTACTTGCTTTTATTTATTCTCCTTTTTCATCTTATGGAGTTGCTCATGGTTACGTGTGACACATGTATATGTTCTTACGTCATTTCCGGTGTAACCAAAGCTTTGTTATGCGTAAAAGAAAGAGTTACCACCCTTTCAACATAAATATATGTAGTGTTGCCAGAGAGGAACTATTTCCAGCACACAGGTGTGTGTGTGTGAGGCGGAGGTATATAGACAAAGATAGAAGTTGGCAGGACACTGCTCACACAGGGGGCGCTGTGTAGATATAGTCATAGGGATAGTGTCTTGTCTGGCTACTATCTCTACGGAATCTTCCAAGGTATGGAAACCTGGATGTAACAGCGCCGAAACACAGTATAAACCTGTAACATACTACTAGTATTTATACAACATCGATAAAAAGTGAAAGATTTTATGGTCGCCCAGGTGCATGGATGATGCTATCATTACGGAAAATCGCTAACATCTATACAACTTAAAATTAATATGAAAACCATATATTATCTTTGGCAAAAGTTCCTGGTATTACCTATAGCAACTCGTCTGCACAGGAAATCAAAATTAGATATAGCGTAGCCCCTGTTAACACTGTGCCGTTGTTCGATTGATGTTTATCTTAGTTTAGCGACTTCTGTTATTTGCCATCGGTGATTAATATTCTTCAGTGTACATGAATTGAGTCCACAATTCGGAATGTTGGCATGGCAGAGATAACTTATGTTTTCTAAAAGGTAAAAAGAATAGGAGACAAATTGTGACATGGTGTGTTGAACACAGGATTAGAAGTTTACGTGACACACTTACATGCGCATATGCGAACAGTCTTGTTATATCGCCAATATCATTACATATAATCCTCGTCGAACTCCTTTAAACCCTCCCTACCTCACATCGATAACAAACAATAACAAACAATGTTTATGGCAACAAATTCCTCAGCAACTTCCGCCGTTACAACACTTGTTCTTCACCCCTTACAAACACTTGTTCTTCACCCCTTACCAGACTTGTTCTTCACCCCTTACACACACCTGTTCTTCACCCCTTACACACACTTGTCCTTCACCCCTTACATACACTTGTTCTTCACTCCTTACAAACATTTGTTCTTCACCCCTTACACACACTTGTTCTTCACCCCTTACACACACTTGTTCTTCACCCCTTACACACACTTGTTCTTCACCCCTTACAAACACTTGTTCTTCACCCCTTACACACACTCGTACTTCACCCCTTCCAAACACTTGTTCTTCACTCCTTACAAACACTCGTTCTTCACCCCTTACACACACTTGTTCTTCGCCCGTTACAAACACTTGTTCTTCGCCCCTTACAAACACTTGTTCTTCATCCCTTACAAACACTTGTTCTTCGCCCCTTACACACACTTGTTCTTCGTCCCATACAAACACTTGTTCTTCACCCCTTACAAACACTTGTTCTTCAGCCCTTACAAACACTTGTTCTTCAGCCCTTACAAACACTTGTTCTTCACCCCTTACAAACACTTGTTCTTCAGCCCTTACACACACTTGTTCTTCGCCCCTTACAAACACTTGTTCTTCGCCCCTTACAAACACTTGTTCTTCACCCCTTACAAACACTTGTTCTTCGCCCCTTACACACACTTGTTCTTCGTCCCATACAAACACTTGTTCTTCACCCCTTACAAACACTTGTTCTTCACCCCTTACAAACACTTGTTCTTCACCCCTTACAAACACTTGTTCTTCGCCCCTTACACACACTTGTTCTTCGTCCCATACAAACACTTGTTCTTCACCCCTTACAAACACTTGTTCTTCAGCCCTTACAAACACTTGTTCTTCAGCCCTTACAAACACTTGTTCTTCACCCCTTACAAACACTTGTTCTTCAGCCCTTACACACACTTGTTCTTCGCCCCTTACAAACACTTGTTCTTCGCCCCTTACAAACACTTGTTCTTCACCCCTTACAAACACTTGTTCTTCGCCCCTTACACACACTTGTTCTTCGTCCCATACAAACACTTGTTCTTCACCCCTTACAAACACTTGTTCTTCACCCCTTACAAACACTTGTTCTTCACCCCTTACAAACACTTGTTCTTCGCCCCTTACACACACTTGTTCTTCGTCCCATACAAACACTTGTTCTTCACCCCTTACAAACACTTGTTCTTCACCCCTTACCAACACTTGTTCTTCACCCCTTACAAACACTTGTTCTTCGCCCCTTACAAACACTTTGTGTTCACTCCTTACAAACACTTGTTCTTCAGCCCTTACAAACACTTGTTCTTCACCCCTTACAAACACTCGTACTTCACCCCTTACATATCGTCTTTTCCACCCTGGTTGAATCGAATGTATTCGTTCTAGTTTAATTGGCCGATTCGCGATTATTTATTCTGATTCATTGGCTTAGTTTCATTACAGTGTGTCGTTTAACTGAATGTTGTTTTGTTCGCTATAATTCACATAATTCTAACAGTACTTGAGACACAGTGGTCTATATAGGTCTAGCATCATGAGCATGTACCATGCCAGTCTAATCTCTGTACGACAAGAAGTGACATTAAGTAAGACTGTGTGGAGATGACCCCAGGGTACCGGGTTATACGTACACTACCTGTCCAATGGCTACTTAGTCACGGTATTTATTGGTACCAGACGCAGAATTTACGTGTGACCGGCCGCTACACATCATTTACTCGTTATCAGAAACTCATCCCTAATGTATATATCCCCTACCATTGTACATTTGGTCAAAACAAGACAAAAAATATAAACTCATGGCATGGCCTGTGTGGCATGGTATTTTGGAGCATGGTGAAATGAACCGGGGTCAAATATGGTGACATTTTAGCCTTTGATAGTACGAACTGCCCCGTGGTGAAATGTTACCGTTATGATAGTATGAACCGCCCCGTGGTGAAATGTTACCGTTATGATAGTATGAACCGCCCCGTGGTGAAATGTAACCGTTATGATAGTATGAACTGCCGCGTGGTGAAATGTTACCGTTATGATAGTATGAACCGCCCCGTGGTAAAATGTTACCGTTATTTAAGCATTGAACTGTTTTTGTATGGTATTTATGATCTATTTGAATGACACAGCTTTGCAAGCAAACAAATCATAATGCGCGTATAGTTCAATACTTATATTTACGTTTTCTCTGCCTTTTATGTTCTTTTTTTAACTTATAATTTATTTTTAAAATTAAAAATGCCCGCCTTATCGACAGTCCACACAATTTCGTTCAATAGTTTGATCAGCGTATTGTCGCGTGCTGATTGGCAAACAAAGTAGTACTGATAGCGTTTGAAGTGAGTGATCTTGCGACGGAGCACAGGTTCGTTACAAATGTCTGAAATGTTTATGTGTGCTGTGACTCATATCAGTAGGTTTGCACTTTAGGCCTCAGTAGGTCTACAGAATATGTGTATTTCAGACCTTTGTAACGAACCCCTGTTGAATTGTGCAGTGTAACAGACGATATTTCTGATAACCGATGTGCATTTTGTACGATATTGCAGACATTGGTCTTGTTTTCGTTGAAATAAAAGTGTTTTTATTTTTTATTTTTTATTTTGCACATAAATTTACAATGGCATTGTCAAATCTCACAATGCCCAGCGATATTTCAGCAGCCGTCATGTTTATTTATATTGGAGATTGTAGTTCCGGTCAGTGTTGTATTAATACGCGAAGAATTGTGTCTCGTGATGCATGGTAATTAAAGTCCCATCAACGACACAGCTTTCAAAGAGGCTATATAGTGACAATGCCATGCAAATGTAAATATGATAGTATGAACCGCCCCGTGGTGAAATGAAGCCTTTAACAAACTTTTTTCGTATCAATTTTGTTCGAAAATTCTTTTGCAAAGTTTTTTTCAATTTTTGTCATTTTTCAATAACAAACCTCCGTAGATAAGTTTGAAATACTTAATAAATGCAAATACTGTTATCACCTATACACCCACCGACAGTGTCAGACTAGACTGGCCCTCGTCTCTAGAATATTGAATCATTTAGAAAAAAATAGACTCTAATAATTTTGACTACTTAAATTTCTGATTCTAAGTTCTTAACTAGGGGGGAAATAAGTTACATGTAGTAGTTAGGGGCTGGGTGTAGCAATAGAGTGCTCCCCTGGAAGTGCTGAACGGCTGCCGTACGCGTTATGGAGACTTACATGTGGAGCACAAATAATCTTATCAATAAGAAACCTAAACCCATTCATCACAGCGGATATCGGGAGGGATGGTCGTGACAGGGAGAAATTTGGACTGATATTTTTGACACTTATAAGATTTTCGAAAATAAAACAGGTGTTCTTAAAATATTTTCTAACCCACCAAATTAACCTTACCCGGACTAAATATTTTTCTGTTAACCCTCATATTAGATTTTTTTCCCAAATGAAAGACTGCAATTTTATCTTAACAAAAATAAAAAATAAACTAACCTCATACTTGTAATGACAATAGTGTACGGCTTTACTAACGAATGCTCTCCACCTAGAATTACTGGACGGGGTTACCTCCCCGTAGTTTTTTTCTACTCTCCGCTAAGGTTTCGCTTGCAAAGTTAAAACTCTAAGACTGCTTCCTCACCCCTCTGCAATTCTATTGATGTAATAACCATCTTCGATTATTGAATCAAATACTGTTTAGACTAACGTCAGGTTAGGTCTATACCAATCCTGTCCTTTTATTGGCTGGTGTGTGTTCCTTTCCATGATGGCGTTTGCTAATTTGGCGGGAAAATTTGTTTCTGACAACAGTTTCTGTCAAGTTGAGTTGGACATTACAACATTACTTTTGTTAACACAGAAAATCATTCTATATATATACTGTTGGTTGCATATTGACTGTTTAACTGTTGAATGTTTGTTCAAAGCAGACGATTGACCTGTCCGTTTCTTTCGCTCACCATCCCTGCAGGTCGGGGATCATGAAAAGAATACACATGCTGTTACCCACAGTATCATGATGTGGGAGTTCCCTGTAAAATTTGGGATTTGCTTTTGTGTCCTCTATTTGGGGACACAAAAGCAACCAAAATAGATATGCTGCTCAAATTGCAATATTTTGTATCTTTTAAATATATTTCTCTCTCATTCTAACTACCTTTTATTTCCTAGTGCCTTGCTTGGCAATACCTCACTTTAGGCCTTAAATGTTGAGCGTTTGCCCAGGTGAGAAAGGCTATAGGTTCTGTCCCCAGGCCGGGACATACCAAAGTCCTTCAAAATGGTAGTTGGTATTCCCTGCTTAACGTTCAGCGATAAGGGGAATGTAAAAAACTGGTTCATCTGTTGTCAGAATAATATGACCGGGCGGAATGCTATGCTTGGTGTCCTCGGCATAGTATTTCAGTGAGGTAGCACCATAAAGTCGGCATCAGTTCCGCGCTATCACAAGGAGGCAAAAACACCAACATACCATATCTCCAGCACACACTCACGCAAGCACGCATATACACACACATGGAGGCACGTCCTTACATGACCTTAGCTGTTAATATAGGGACGTTAAACAAAATAAAACCAGACTTTCACTCACATAGCGATGGGAACAAGGGCACGTCGAGAAGGTACACATGTAACCGAATAACTATTAGCAGTGTGTAATAGGAGAGGAAAACGCACGCCAAGACCGGGGTTCGAGCCTGGAACCTCTTAACTCTAGGCGGAAGATCTAACCAACACAGCTACCTGGTCGTCGATCATTCCTCCTTACTTTTCATAAGAGCCCGGCGGTTCGGGTATCCCCTTGCCAAGCGTACACACAGTACTTGAAACAATGTTTGGTCACAGGCACCACTGTAACAAAAGTGGAAACATTGACGGCCAAACTTGAATTCAAACCTGGGATCTTGTGTACCAATTGAGCTACCTGTTCGCTGGCGATCGAAAAAGTCCAGTTCCTCAACAACTGGAACATTCTTAAGATTTCATGCACGTTTCCAATGAAAAAGGATATAATTCCACAGTTGAATCGACAAATCAATATTTACTCCTCAGCACCATAACAGAGAATGAATTTCCTGATTTGACTAGTAGAGGAAGAGGTTCTAACTAAGGTAACCAGGCGTGTGATTCAGTTGATACTGGTATTTGTGACAACAAATCGGCGAAATGAAAATGATGCTGTCTAACGCTCAACTTCAGAACGGAGCTTTTAAATTGAACCTGAATAATGTAAATTAATAAACTTAATATTTGCATATACTTTTATCATGATACATTGTATATGAGTATCGCAGGCCTAGGTATTTTTTAATAAGTTTAATGTTCATTAATACTGAGAAGCGTTCACTGATACTGAAGATTTTTTAATGTGAGTGTTAATTGATATATAATTGTATAAGTATATATGCATGTTAATTGATGCATAATCTTACACACTTGTTTCATGTCTTATCATTCAACAGTCAAAACTGTTTCCCCCGAGGTGTTGGTACCAAACCGTTAAACTGTTTCAAGAGGCCCGCTGTTATTACGCGATAAATCCAGAATAACTGCTATCTGACATCATCCGTATCATTATTTCCTTCAAACCGTGACATCATGATGGCGTCTGCTGGACCTGTTTTACTGTTAACGTTTTATCTTACTAAATTTGATTGGCTGTGTGTGCGCTGTCGTGAACCAATCGGAGATCGTCAGACAACGTCAAAACTATATATATTGAACGGTCAAAAGCTTTACCTTCTGTCTGGCTTGTTACTTTCTCCGGTATTACATTCTAAACTTTCTCATTTAAATAAAGAGTCAGGTTATGATATTAACTGCTGTTCGATAGTTCCCGGAGTTCACTAGTTTGTATCAGTGTTCACTCTTATATACAGTGTTGTTCACAGAAGTATCACGTTGTGTTATCTTCTTAAATCTGTCAAATGTTTTTATTATAGTATCCGTATTACTGTAAAACATTCGATTTGTTCCGTAAAAATAGTTAAAACTGTTTACATTTTCTAGACTTTACTTTTTGAACGTGTAACATGATTTATGGAAGTTACACGAATGTTGGTTTGAGCACGGGATCCATGCTTGATCATGAGAATGGTTTCGTGAATACGGCCCCGGTTTTACACTTTTATAATTAGTCTATGTAAACTTAATTAAAAATCTAAACCAATCAAATAGCTTGTAAAAAATATAGCTAAAGTGATCACTGCATACAGTACACTGTATTAAGTTAAATAGTATGTATAAACACCACTTACAGCAAAAAGTGTGTTTCACACATTTAATTTGTCAGTTTTTTCCTCTTTTAAATATTTAAGACTCACTTTTTATTAACAAAGTTGAAAGAAATAACAGAAATACGATACAAACGTGTTTCTGACTGCACAATTACATGCTATTGTGATGTATAATATTTTCTGTAAGTTACATTTCCTTTGATACGCCGGGCCGCGTTAGTCGTTTGTGTCTGGGTGCATTATCGAGCATATGTTTGGTCCTGTGAAGTGCCTGGTACCTACATTAGTATGTCCGGTCCATCCTCTCATCTCGTGCTTCACACGTCAGAGAGCAGCCACTGTACCAATACCCGCCAGTCAGTTCCGGCGTCACTCTGTAGGAGCTGTAACGACGACAGACAAATGGAACTACTTTAACCAAGAAGTTCGCGTTCATGTTGAAAGTTTATTAAAATTTTGATATTTCAGTAATTTGGAGGCAATTGTTACAGTAACGCCCGAACTAAGTTAGAATAAAGCACGCTTCTTTAAATACATTTACAATGAGGTCCAAACCATAGATACATGTAACAATAAAGGACCTTTGTAGAACATGATTGTTATTGTATTGAGGGCCAATGAACAACATGAACTCTTCATCACAATGACCATTTTAATAAACGATACTCCGGATTTAATTTTCGAAACAGTCCTCTCAGCTATAACATTTGTTTTTGTTTTTAGTATGATAATTAAATTCAAGTTATTGTTTTTATTGATTTTATTCATTGCGTGGAACAGCAAAAATTGGTCCTATTTGTCGGGTGGATATTGATAAGAAATCTAGTTATACTTTGGAATTGATTGATAGGAATGAAGCAGACTAACAATAATTCTATCACACAGATATAAATAGCATTGCGTAATATGGCACTACTCTCCTCTTCCAATTCACCAATACATAGCAACTGTACATAGACGAAATCCGACATTTTATGTGTAGCAACAGTAAAATCGAGTTGACTTTGTCAAGTGATCTTCAAGCAAAATGGGGAAGAAAAAACATGTATCTCCTGTTCAACTGATGGTAAAGTTTCCGTTAAACCTTATCTTATCTGACACCACGTGGGATCTAACGCGTCGCTCGGATTAGACAGTGTGTAACAATACACAAATTTGATTGATACAGCTACTGCAAAATGTCTGACTCCTCGGCGGTCGGAATAGACAGGTCTCGTTGTATCGTATTTACAATTGCAGCTATGCTTCCTTTTCTGACCTTTCTCTAAGTGTCAGACTGTGACATCAACAACGAAAGTACTGCATTTTATTCTATATATGACGTCACATGTTGGCTACATGTATGTTGGGGATTATCATAACACTTAATCGTAATTATACTGTGACAAATGAGATGTAATAAAATAGAAATAGAATTAGAAGAATAAAATCGCTACCTCGGATACATTTTTGATGAAGTCAAGGAAAATTAAACAATGCTGAGAGATGTCAAACTTTTTACTGAAATATTTTGTCATATTTTGTGTATTTATAGCTTAAACAATAGATTTCTTTCCAAAGGGAAAATCGACATGAGATTCCCACACAGATCCACGTAAGTGCTCAGATTTCGCTAAAACTTTGACAGCTACATATATAGTGGCGTCTTAAAAAAAATATCAATAGTACACTATACCCGCCCAAAGTAATCCACATGTTCGTGTTTGATGAACTTTTTCTTCACCGTACACGTTCCCAAGGCGTGGTACCACTTTATGTAAAGCGGACAGTTTTTCTTCACGTTTCACTACCTGGACGAGAATCACAGGGTGACATCCGACCCGCCGTCTCTGACATAATCGGCGCGTCTGTATCGGTACCGGCCAATACATGAATATCAAATCCTTATCTCTCTCGTGCATCAGCCCGAGCGGAAAGCCAAATGCACCATAAGGCTCCCTACATATTCAGCGTTTACTGTGTGTCTCGCTTTATGAAAAACTGATATAGTTTCAGTGCCATGCTTTTCTCACTCACCGTAGAAACTATTCTCAAGGACGTTTTTGTACGGGGTCTGCTATCTGTTAAATGCTGCTCCATAGACAAGTTCGCTGTCAAAACACTGCCAGATTCTTATCCAGTCTAAAATCCCGTGGTGCAGCCATACCAATATATTTGGAGTATATAAATGGCAGAAAATCAGAGAGATAAGAAATAGAAAGAAAGAAGCCGGGAGGGTCTTCTTCCTTTTTATTTCAAGCGACTTTTTGGTGTGTGTTTTTAAGGAAAAAGCTTGGAGTTTCGGAAAAGAACACATGCATTAAAAACAGTTTTAGATGGGTTTTTTTTTTGGTGTTTTCAATGAATCTGCTGCAACTCTATGGATATTACCAGAATCGAGTGGCTTATACGTACTTCTTAGCTGATTGTGTTGCAAGTGCTTGCGGATATTCAGAAAACAGGCTTTTCGAAAAGATTGGATTTTAATTACCTATATGGGATAACGTATTTCGGTGGAATCTTACGATTTGTGATAATTAATTAGCAATGTGTTGATTGCACGTGGAAGTGTTCATAAGACTGTGCTTCGATCCATTCCGTTGATAATTGATGTACTAATGTTAGCCCAATTACCGGAGCCAACCCGCGGGGAGAGGCGGAATCACGGAACGATTGCATACTGCGCGTCATAGCAGCTTCGCGCGTGTTTACACCAAGTCACTCAGAAAACGGGTACCAAAAATAGACAGAAGGAGAGTCGAGAGGAACTGTAGTGTTAGAGAGGGGGTCTTTCCCTACAGACTAGGTTTACTGGGGGGACTGAAGTCTTATTTACCAACAGGGGCTGGGGCACGCCCAAAATGGAGCGACATCAGACATAAGGTAAGAGTTCAAAATCCGGATGTTCTTTGACGGAAACGTTTTTGTCAATTGTTGTTTAAAGGTCAAAGGTAAGGGCTGGTTAATGGTGAACACATGTCAGAGTACTGCGTTCCCTGTTTAGAAATCGTTATTTTCTCGAGTGGTCGAGGTTATAACGTAAATTACAACTACTTTTGTTTACGTTGTATTTCATACGTCAAATTTTCGGTCTGGTATGTAGTAACTTGGAACGAATCTATAGCAAACGCCTGTAACTATGTGCATTGATAGTTTTCAGTGGTCGTTATATTGTTGCCATGAAATATGATACATGTTCTGCATGGTGGCAGCGGGGATCTCCCTCTAGAGTCGACCCCCCGCCCCCTCCTCTTTTCTCCCTCTCAACAACAGCGGTGGATGATTACGAATATGTCGAGCTTGGAGAATGATTCATAAATTCTTGCGCTATTTTAGGAATAGACAACCCACCTTATTACGCTTTCTGACAAATTAACTATCATATATATTTTCTGCGATGGGTTCCAGGTGCTTAATCCCAAGTCAGCTGTCGAGTTCCAGGAATATATTGATTCAAGTAAGGTCGATAAGTATCAAAAACAAATTTTCTAGATTACGTTTTAGAGTGTGGGTTTTTATGGGTACTTATTTTTTTTGTTCTGGTGGTATTTCCGCCTCTTCTTTTCAACTGTGATATTCACTATTCCAACGATAATTGACACACACGCGAACATATTCCTCACCCGCCCATACCGGTGACACACATTTATCCCCCTCCCACACAACATGTACAATTCCCCCAAACAAATGTACCACGTACACCTAACACCGTCTTACAATATCTTTCACAAATCGCCAACCTAGCCCCGACTTACACAAATAAATTCGTATACCACACAACATAGCCCTAGTCCTGTACCCCAGGTTCACAAACTAAAAAGGGAATTCCTTACCTGAATATTTCCATCGGAAGTTAGGGAAATTTTCCTAAGCTCAAGTTGTTTCCTTACATCAAAAGTGTTTTCCCAGGAACACTTAAATCAAGGATGTTTTTACGCTAAGGACCGGTCGCAAAACTGGGGCCTGAGCCTTACTGTGACCCCCAACATCCTTCCCTCATTACACACCAACACTACCTAACACCGGCTTATTTAACTCCTACCCCGTCCGACTCTAATGTTGTGCTATTATACCCCAACCTTATCCTAAACTCACCTCATAAGACCTTAACGTGACCCACACTACCCAAACCTCACCCAACATGGATGTTACTGGGACCCACACAAACCTCATCGCACACACACTAACCTCATCCCACACAGCCCTAACCTCATCCAATACAGCCCTAACCTAATCCCACACAGCCCTAACCACGACCCATATAACCATAACCTTATCCTACACAGCTCTAACCTCATCCCACACAGCCCTTACCTCATCCCACACAACCCTTACATCATCCCACATAGCTCTAACCTCATCCCACACAGCCCTAACCTCATCAAACACAGCTCTAACCTCGTCCCACACAGCCCTTACCTCCTCCCACACATCCCTGACCTCATCCCTCACAGCCCTAACCTTTTTCCACACAGCCCTAACCTCATGCTACACAGCTCTAACCTCATCCCACACAGCCCTGACCTCATCCTACACAGACCTGACCTCATCCCACACAGCCCTAACCTCATCAAACACAGCACTATCCTCGTCCCACACAGCCCTTACCTCCTCCCACACATCCCTGACCTCATCCCTCACAGCTCTAACCTTATCCCACACAGCCCTAACCTCATCCCACACAGCTCTAACCTCACCTACACAGCCCTAACCTCCTCAAACACAGCACTAACCTCGTCCCACACAGCCCTTACGTCCTCCCACACATCCCTGACCTCATCCCTCACAGCTCTAACCTTATCCCACACAGCCCTAACCTCATCCTACTCAGCCCTGACCTCATCCCACACAGCCCTAACCTCTTCCTACTCCGCCCTGACCTGATCCCACACAGCCCTAACCTCATCCCATACAGCCCTAACCTCATCCCACACAGCCTTACCTCATCCCACACAGCCCTAACCTCATCCCATACAGCCCTAACCTCATCCCACACAGCCCTTTCTTCATTCAACACAGCACTAACCTCATCCCACACAGCCCTAACCTCATCAAACACAGCTCTAACCTCGTCCCACACAGCCCTTACCTCCTCCCACACATCCCTGACCTCATCCCTCACAGCCCTAACCTTATCCCACACAGCTCTAACCTCATCCTACACAGCCCTAACCTCATCCCACACAGCTCTAACCTCAGCCTACACAGCCCTAACCTCATCAAACACAGCACTACCCTCGTCCCACACAGCCCTTACCTCATCCCACACAACCCTTACATCATCCCACATAGCTCTAACCTCATCCCACACAGCCCTGACCTCATCCCACACATGTCTAACCTCATCCTACACAGCCCTAACCTCATCCAACACAGCACTAACCTCATCCCACACAGCCCTAACCTCATCAAACACAGCCCTAACCTCGTCCCACACAGCCCTTACCTCATCCCACACAACCCTTACATCATCCCACATAGCTCTAACCTCATCCCACACAGCCCTTACCTCATCCTACACAGCCCTAACCTCATCCCACACAGCTCTAACCTCAGCCTACACAGCCCTAACCTCATCAAACACAGCACTACCCTCGTCCCACACAGCCCTTACCTCATCCCACACAACCCTTACATCATCCCACATAGCTCTAACCTCATCCCACACAGCCCTAACATCATCCTACACATCCCTAACCTCATCCGACACAGCCCTGACCTCATCCCACACAGCTCTAACCTCACCCTACACAGCCCTAACCTCATCAAACACAGCCCTAACCTCGTCCCACACAGCCCTTACCTCCTCCCACACATCCCTGACCTCATCCCTCACAGCCCTAACCTTTTTCCACACAGCCCTAACCTCATGCTACACAGCTCTAACCTCATCCCACACAGCCCTTACCTCATCCCACACAACCCTTACATCATCCCACATAGCTCTAACCTCATCCCACACAGCCCTAACCTCATCCCACACAGCTCTAACCTCATCCTACACAGCCCTAACCTCATCAAACACAGCACTAACCTCGTCCCACACAGCCCTTACCTCCTCCCACACATCCCTGACCTCATCCCTCACAGCCCTAACCTTTTTCCACACAGCCCTAACCTCATGCTACACAGCTCTAACCTCATCCCACACATCCCTAACATCATCCTACACAGCTCTGACCTCATTCTACACAGTCCTAACCTCATCCCAGACAGCCCTTACCTCATCCCACACAACTCTTACCTCATCCCACACAGCCCTAACATCATCCTACACATCCCTAACCTCATCCGACACAGCCCTGACCTCATCCTACACATCCCTGACCTCATCCCGCACAGCCCTAACCTAATCCCACACAGCCCTAACCTCATCCCACACAGCCTTACCTCATCCCACACAGCTCTAACCTCATCCCACACAGCCCTTACCTCATCCCACACATCCCTGACCTCATCCCTCACAGCCCTAACCTTATCCCACACAGCCTTAACCTCATCCCACACAGCCCTAACCGGTGCTTAATCCCAAGTCAGCTGTCGAGTTCCAGGAATATATTGATTCAAGTAAGGTCGATAGGTACATGTATCATAAACAAATTTTCTAGATTACGTTTTAGAGTGTGGGTTTTTATGGGTACTTATTTTTTTGTTCTGGTGGTATTTCCGCCTCTTCTTTTCAACTGTGATATTCACTATTCCAACGATAATTGACATACACGCGAACATATTCTTACCCCGCCCATACCGGTGACACACATTTACCCCCCTCCCACACAACATGTACAATTCCCCCAAACAAATGTACCACATACACCTTACACCGTCTTACAATATCATTTACAAATCGCCAACCTAGCCCCGACTAACACAAATAAATACGTATACCACACAACATAGCCCTAGTCCTGTACCCCAGGTTCACAAACTAAAAAGGGAATTCCTTAACTGAATATTTCCATCGGAAGTTAGGGAGATTTTCCAAAGCTCAAGTTGTTTCCTTACATCAATAGTGTTTTCCTAGGAACACTTAAATCAAGGATTTGTTTACGCTAAGGACCGATCGCGACACTGGGGCCTGAACCTTACCGTGACCCCCAACATCCTTCCCTCATTACACACAAACACTACCCAACACCGGCTTATTTAACTCCTACCCCGTCCGACACAGCCCTGACCTCATCCCACACAACCCTAACATCATCCTACACAACCCTGACCTCATCCTACACAGCCCTTACCTCATCCCACACAGCCCTTACCTCATCCCACACAGCCCTAGCCTCATCCTACACAGCCTCAACCTCATTCTACACAGCCCTTACCTCATCCCAAACAACCCTAACATCATCCTACACAGCCCTAACCTCATCCCACACAGCCCTAACCTCATCCTACACAGCCCCAACCTCATTCTACACAGCCCTTACCTCATCCCAAACAACCCTAACATCATCCTACACAGCCCTGACCTCATCCTACACAGACCTGACCTCATCCCACACAGCCCTAACCTCATCCTACTCAGCCCTGACCTCATCCCACACAGCCCTAACCTCATCCCACACAGCCCTGACCTCATCCCACACAGCCCTAACCTCATCCCACACAGCTACATTTGTATAACCTCATCCTACACAGCCCTAACCTCATCCCACACAGCCCTAACCTCATCCCACACAGCCCTAACCTCATCCCACACAGCACTGACCTCATCCCACACAGCTACATTTGTATAACCTCATCCTACACAGCCCTAACCTCATCCCATACAGCCCTAACCTCATCCCACACAGCTCTGACCTCATCCCACACAGCTCTGACCTCATCCCACACAGCCCTAACCTCATCCTACACAGCCCTTACTTCGTCCCCCTCTACTG